ATTGTGTTTACCGCAAGATCTCTTCTTCTTGCAGCGTTTCTCGCAGCGCGCGTCATCGGCCTTGGTCGTCAAATCTCTGCAGGCGATCTCGCGGTCCATGTTACCGCATCGGCACTTGACGTCGGTGTTCAATTCACATTCCGGACATTCTCCCACGTGACATGGTGCCTTGCAGGTGTGCGGATTACCTGCGTGAGCGAAAATCCGATTTAGCGCGTCTATATGGTCACAAGACGCGAAACGCGATATCTCTGAAATGCTTACTAGGCTGGCCGCATTTTAAGCTCTTCGAGCAGATTTTATCGCAGATCGGCACAGGATCCGTGCAGCTCTCTCTCTTCTCCGTTAACGGCGTTTGGCCACAACAGCACATCGTAACTCTTTCAGGCGTTAAGGAACAGGGTTCGCAGGACTCCGGGTGACAGACTTTCTGACAATAATGTTTCTCGCAATCCAATGGTTTGTTACAAATATTATCACAGCAATATGTATCTGCGGTATTGGCTCGGCAGGGTACCTCCTGAGTTTTCTTAGTACAAAAACATGCTAAACAAAATAACACAAAAGCATTAAAAAATCGTATTGTTCACCATCTATTGTACTTATTCTAATCCTAACATCGATATCTTAATTAAAGAGTTAAATGTCAGATATCGATGAAAAAAATTGGAATATTACTTTGTTGCACAGTTTTGTCGCAAGGCCCGCACTCTCCCTGGTGGCACTTGTTCTGGCAGGTGTGCTTGCCACACGACAGATCCTTTCCGCATATTGAATCGCACATCAACAATTGATGAGCGCTACACAGAAGCATCTTCGACGTTCTCCCGCATCCGCAATACTTGGTCACCATCGCCACGCACTGCGGGCAAGAGCCGGGATGGCAGAGCAGGGTGCATTTGTGCGTGCAATTCTTCTTAGACAGATGTCGGCCGCAGATCTCGCCGCACGAATGCGCCACGTCTCTGCGATTCCACTCCGGCATCTTCATCTTACCGCAGAAGCAGAAGTAATCCTCGGGCACGAATAAACTAACGTCCCGACAAGCCGGGCACTTCCAACTGTTATTCTCTAGAATGGAATACGTTAATGAGATTGCGTCTGATTTGGCGCGATTGCAACTTCGACCGCGCTCACTTACCGCTCTGAGACGACCTGGCCCATTTTTTGATGCATCTCAAATGCAATACGTGATAACAATTGCTGCAGGACCAAACGTAGTCGCTTTGCTTGATATGCTCATAACAGACCAGACATTCCAATGCTCCCTTGTTTAACTGTTCGGTTAATCTCTCCCTTTGACTCGCGTCATCATCTGTTAAGAATGTACAGAGCAACAATTAATTACGAAATTATTTTTTATATAATAACAATGCGATTTCTTTGATAGACTATAAGTATTACCAATGTCAGATTTTTTCCTCAGATTTTTCCCCTGTGGTGTCTGTGCTGTCTCATTACTTTTCGTCCTGTCTCTCCAATTTTCCACTCTCCTTTCTCTATAACTTGTCATATCATTGTTTCTCCTTTGCGCATACTTTGTTGCTGTCGTTGTTTTCCACCGGGCACCGGGTTCAGATTGTTCGTCTGAATTGTATCTATGATAATTGGACGCATTAGCGAATCGTTTAGGTCTACCGTTTCGTTGTGCCTCAAGAATTTTCGAGGACATATTTTCCGAATCGTTATCCTCGTACGTCGATGCCTCTTCTCTGCCTCTACCGGTTTTAGTAGCCGAAAACGAGTCGTCCTCTTGAATTTCCTCAACAACAGTTTTATTTTCCTGACTACTAGACGTAGCTGAGTCGGTAGCTTCGGTTGTAGATGCGTGACCTTCTCCAGCGGCATTTTGTTCCGCGTTCGACTGATACTTCCTATTGTAATATCTGCCGTTCTGAAACTTATTGTAGTTTCTCGTGTTGTACGTTCTCTGAGTATCCCTGTAGCCAGATCTCGGGGCTTGCGCGTCCTGCATTCTGTCCTGCGGCCTCTTCTGTCTGTAATTTGCGTCCCTCGGGTCCTTCCTGTTGTCGTAGCGTCTCTCGTTTTTGTACCTGTTGTCCGCCAAGGACGACTTGTCAGTCGATTTTGGCCTGAATTCCTGTGCGCAGGCATTGAAACCACTGCTCGTCGCGTTGCCGTTGTCGTACCTTCTGAATCTGGGATCCTTCCTGAACTTGGCCTGACTGTTCGGCACGAATTCATTGGCCATGGGATGTAGATTGGAATTCTCCACTACGGTGGACCGGATGATGTCGTCCATCTTCGGTGGTGGCGGCGCCCGGTTGCCGGCCGCCCGGTTACCCCTGGACCTCGGTTTGTAACCACCGCGGGACTCGCGGGAAAAGGGTGGCGCGTCGCGCGACGTCTGGACGACGTTGCTCGACGCTCGGGTGCTGTTCGAGGTAGCCATTGCGTTTGGCAGTGCACGTTCCTGATAGGCATTGTTCTCCAAAGGCACCATGTTCGGCGGGTGTTGGGCGCCGGTCTGGTAGAAGGTCGCCGTTGGCCCGCTCTGCTCGTAGACCTGCCGACCGCCCCCGGTCCCGGTTCCCGTGTAGTAGCCTCCCGCGGGTATGTCACGCAGGTACGTGGGATTCTCGGCGAAGTACTGCTGCCAGTTCCCCGCGGCAGCGTCGGCCGCGTTCCGGTCGGCGTACACCAGGTAATTGAGGTCCTCCGGATACGAGCCGTCCCAGGTGGCCATCGCCGCGATTGCACAGTAATGCGAAATCACACGCAACGCGCGGGGACAGGAGACAGCAGTCAGGAGTCAGGAGTGCCGATAAACGCGCTAATCTTATCTGCCGAGATCGGATCTCCTCGTGAGAGCAGGAGAGGGAAAATAAGATCGGAAAAATAATCCCGTTCGGCGAATTGCAATATGTTAACGCTACGCGCGTTCCGGAGCGACCTTGCCCTAACCTAAAAAAATTCGATAGGTCGCGCGTAAGCCACGTGTTTTATACCTCGTCGACCGTTCGTAATTATTAAATCGATCACAATGGAAATTCGGAGACTGTGGAATCAGTGGAATGTGTACGAGCGAAATTCTTGCAAACCTTTCACGACCTTTCCCCGTCTAGCAGCGACTACAGCGTCCTCTAATGGAAGCCTCCGACCAGCGGAACTACGTATACAGATATATACCAATGTCTTATCATCGTATCAACCCGATCGATAAGATTTGAAAGAAAAATTTAGATAAAATGCAAAAATATTCTACAATGGAACCATGAAGAATAGAGATAATTCTTCATGGTGCTGCTCTACAACCTTGCTTTAAGTGCTGGGGCCCGATTCTCTTAAGGGAATCCTAAAGCGAAGACCGAACTTCCTCGACGTCGGTAATGTCAACATTTCTAATCCTGTTTTCTCTATATCTGTCCTTGTTTAACTTTACTTCGTCTCTCATTTACGTCTTTTAGTGATCAGGATATAACATAGAAAAGAACATTTTTCTTACTTAAAAAATAAAAATATATTCTTAAAATAAGATTAAAAGAACGTGCAAAGTTTAACGTCATTCGCTTTCATCGTTACCCTATATAAAATTCCTGAAAAATATCTATTTTTAAAGACGTTCTCCGGCTCCACTTGTATTCATGTTTAAAAAGAAAAATTTATTTTACTGAAGTTAAAATTAATAATTTTTATATTTTAAAATAGTAGACAAACTTTATTTGTAAATATATATAAACAATTTATTCGCTGTGTGCGCAGAGACTAGTGCTGCCACGGTTAGTGAAATATCGCACTTTTTGATGGAATAGCTGTATGGAATAGCTGTCAACGATTGTGAATATTCGAGCTACGTGTAAACTGTCGTTAGGTAATTTAAATCTTAATTTCAATGATGATATTACAAAAATTATAGTTGAAAAGATTTTTCGAGAGAAATTAACCTACATTTGTTTTAAAGGTTAACCTTTTTCTGACTTTTTGCAATGAATCTTATTATACGAACGGGATTTGGACCTGTCACTTATGACATTAAATTTAATCCAAGTTCAATACCAAAAGGAAAAGCCTTAGCAATATCGCATGTGGTTCGCGTTGAAGAATTGCGTAATGAAAATATAAGCCATTTAATAAGGTGCAGTGTAATACCGCAAACATCTGTCAATGCTATTCCGTACAAGGTACAATTACATGTAAGTATATCAATATTAATGAAATTCAAGTCAATCGTAAATAAATAAAAAAACGTTTAAACAAGAACAAAAAATTATTGTTTTGATTATTTATTCAAAATACATTATTGACGCGTTTTTACACGAAACGAAAGAATCTGGAAGAAAAACGCGGCAGTCTGCCTCGCGAAGCGAGATATTAATCGTTAAAGTTGACAACTATTTAAGTTAGAAAACCTGTCATATCGATGAAATGTAGCGACATGTACATGCCCCGTAGTCACATGTCGATTAAGCATAATTTTATTGATATTGGAGGTGAGGCCCGTATTCTAAATAAATACCATTATTTTAAACGAGGTAAAATATGATCATATAATCTCAAAGAATATACTTACTTTATTTTTTGTACCCAACGTATCCACATTTTTCGCTGCTCAATTTTATAAATCGCTTTTGGAAAAAAATAAAATTTTATTTCTGAACTTGTATTGTGAAATACATTCTTACACGTGTTCACGCAACAATTTAAATTTCCTTTCCGCAATTTTTCCATTACGATGTATTAGAAAACTCCAGCAAATAATGCAAATTCCGGCCACCATGGGCGCTCTAAGTCCTACTTTTCCGCATAGTATACCAGCGCACACAGCGAATATACTCTCGATGATCGTAGTCGTCTGTATTATAGATAGACACATGTGGATATCTTTCCTCCCATTGATCAAGTAATTGATCACTTACATTACAGCTTGTGAGAGAAAACTTCTGCAATTTAGGACATTGTTTCAAAATAATGGAATATTTATCAGGATCATCTGGATCATTCCAAGGTATCAGATGTTCAAGATATACATTTTTTAGGTTTTTGCACTGCGCTAGTAATTCCAACCGGTGATTAGTGAGGACATAAAAGTACAAATTAATTTCTTGCAAGTTTTGATAGGAAGAAAATAATCTGAATAAGCTGTCATCCGCTAGGGAACAATTTCTGTAACAAAAATCATATTTCAATAAAGAATACAATAATATGTGTATTTTAAAAGAAAATGTAGCACACACACACACTTACATATAAAGGGACACTTTTTGTAAATTCTTACAGTTACCGAGAGCATTAATACCCTGAGATGTAACATCTTCATCTGATGAGATGTACAGTGTATGTATTACTTCCAAGTCGCGACACTTTGCCAACTCTACCAGAATTTTATCGTCCCAGATCCGGGCTCTGATCTCACGAATACGCGGATTATTTTGCAGTACTTTACAAATATGTTCCATGGAATTTGGCAGACCCCAAAAATTTATAGATTCCAAATTATTTAGCTCCTCAAAATACGAAAAATTTCTGTAGCAATCACACCGACAATCACTTAGATCCAATTCTAAGAAAAATTTGCATTAGTTGTTATGCAATTTACCCATAATCTTGACAATTACATATATACATATACTATATGCATATACCTTTCAAATTTTTGCATGTTTTTCCAATTTCCTTTAGCGCAGGATTAAAATCCGTGTAGCATTTAATTAATATGCATTTACTTAATCTTAAATGCGTTACACAACTGCCGCAATTATTAAGAAAGTTTACAAAATCATCAATATCAAACTTGCTTCCTGTAAGATCTAATTGTTGCAAATATTTACATCTAGGTGTAAAATAAGAAAATACGTGGCACATATATTTCTCAGATTTATTTGTCATGTCCAAATGTGTATAGAGTTCAGGGTCCTGTGTTAGATCTTTGAAGCGTTTATCTACCTGACTCATGCGGCATAACGTTTCCAAATCTAAGTATTTAAGTATTTTTAGTAATATTTCATTCTGTAAAGATAGAATATAATTAATGTAATACAAAATAAATACTTTAATACTCAAAGTACGAAATGTCATTGCAATATTGTGATGAGAAATAGATTTCTTAGAATACTTTACAGGAAGCGCAGATAAACTGCAACGTGATAGCTCCTTGGATTCATCCGAAGAGAGTTCCATACTGTTTACACAATTGGAATGACTTTTTAATAGTTTACGAGGCGAGTATTTCTGTACAAGAGTTTGGCACTTGGTCGCAATGGCAGTTTGAAGCTGAGAGCTTAAAGAGGACAATTCGGTAAGCATTCTTTCAATTTCGGTATCCCGCCTTTCAACTTGCAGTTGTAATGCATTAGCCTCATCCGTAACTGTGTCTCTCTGACTACGTAATTCACAATTTTCCTTCTCCAACCTGTAATCCACATTAAATCAAATCCACGTACAAGATATTAAATGTTGATAACACTTCATTAAGAATAAACATTAGTCTCTTGCTATTTTATACAGTAATTATATTATTAGTTATCAAAATATTATAAATTTCTTTTTTATATATCGATATTAGAAATTGTAAGAACGTGACATTACCGTTTGACAGATTCCTGTAATCCGTGCACTTCAATTTTCACTTCCTCAAGATTGCTACATACTTCTGTATTGCTCTTTTCCGCTAGCTCCAACTTCCCTCTACGCTCGTCAAGATCCAACTTCTGCAGCTCTGCAAGTTCCTTCTGCGCCGTCTCTAAATTTTGCTCTGTAAGTCAACATAAAGTTCTCGGCCTTCCATTTATGCAAAATTCTTTATTTTGAGATAAATTTTGGACATGAATTATGGCTTTCGATGTTTGAGACTATAAAGAAGTTTACATTGAGTCTCGAGTAAATAATGAAAGTATTGTTAGAAGAAACCTAAATTCGAGAAAGGTACATACATAAAAAGCGCCGGCATTTCAGAAGTATGTAAATAAAACGAGCGTCCCTGGAATATTTATTCGAAGCTGTTAAAAATTCAAAACGGCGCGTCCAGCTTACCCAAACATTTTCGGCTGGTCTCGAAAACCGCCTTGGCGGTTATAAACTCCTCGAACTTTGCATTAAAATGCGCATTGATTTTCCTCGTTGATTCTCTCGGGATTTGCGCCAGCTCCTCCTCACTCGCGATCTCGCGAAGAACGTTGGGCTCGCTCTCCTCGACCGCTTCCATGTCGATCGGATAATTTCTTCGACGATTGGATCAGCTTTACCGACGTTTTCAGATTCCAAGGTTGAGGTGTTTAATTTCTCTGAACAGGCACCACATTTGCGTTTCAGTTAATAAACGTTATCACGTTTCTGCAACGAACACGAACGTTTTATGCGTTATGCAGAAGTGTGTGCTCCGGGTGCTCCCCGCTTTAACTGCATGGTCCGCATGGCGGGAGCATGATTACAACATGAGCGGGAGCCGCGGGAGGTTCGCGTGGTATGTACGCTGGGCTGCGTTCGAAAACGTCACCCGAGTGCACACGAGTATACTTCCTTCTCTTTCTATCTCAGCGAATTAGAAGGAGAAGGGAGTATACCCGTGTAAATCCGTGTATACCCGGGTGACGTTTCCGAACGCAGCCCTAATGGTACTGGTGAAGGGGAGGGGTCAGAGGGCATGGTGAGAAGCACAAACACGTGGCCGTGAGCATATTCGTCATGAGTCATGGGTAGCGACTGTTGCGCGTCCCTAGCGGCCCCGAACAGAACCTTCCAAGTCGTGTTGTATATTGGGTATCGATGCGATTCAAAGATCGGGCGCGTATGCGAGTTGTAAAATAACTTTTTTAATAACTCCTTTATTTAAGCGGGGAGCACACACTTCTGCACAACGCATAATGCGTAAGCAAGAAAATTGATTGGTCCATACACATATGCATAAGGAAATAGACCAATCAGTTCTCTTATGCTTATGCATTATGCGTTGTGAAGAAGTGTGTGCTCCCCGATTAAAACTTAATTGATTATGTTGGAGGTGGTTTGAGAGCGTATGTTGAAGGGGAGAATGTACTGAAGACTGAAGGCAAACCACCTTATGTATATTGGAATAATTTTCAAAAAAGTAGAGGAAATAAAAATAATGTCCTTGTGCTTAAAAAGCTCGGATTTGTTTGGGTGCTTTGCCTTCAGTACATTCTCCCCTTCAACATACGCTCTTAAACCACCTCAAACATAATCAATTAAGTTTTATTAAAGGATTATTAAAAAATTTATTTTACAACTCGCATACGCGCCCGATCTTTGAATCGCATCGATACACGACTTGGAAGGTTCTGTTCGGGGCTGCTAGAAACGCGCAACAGTCGCTACCCATGACGAATTCCACAAGCTGCTCCGATACTCCGATCTCAGATCACAAAAAGACAGGGTTGAAACGGTTGGGTAAGTTAATTTATTTTTAACTAACAAGGGAACCTCGCATGCCCGAAAAAAGTATTCGTCATCAAAATATATGTTTTATATTAAAAACTCTTCTATTCAACAAATAATATTTTTAAAAAATAATTTTTTAAACAAAATTTTTATTAAAAATTAGAAAAAAATTTTTTTAAATATTTTTGTAAATTGTTTCAAATTCAGGAGCCAAAAAACGGAAGAAGAGAAGCACACCTTGTTTTTCCTTTAACATGCTTATTTATATTTGCAATAACTGTAATAAAAGTCACGTGGAAACCCGATACCATTGTACAGTTTGTGACATATGTATTAGATTGCTTTGGAGAAAAATACTTTCGCCACTTTTCATGACTTTCATGCTTACTATAATTGCGATTTTATTACAGGATTTCGATTTATGTGTAAATTGTAAAGATAAGGACAGTCATCCGCACCCGATGGAAAAACTTGGCTTTGCTTTGGATAATGGCTCTTCGCCTGCGGATGCGGAACAAACCAATCCACAGGTAACTTGTCGGCTTATTCTAAAAATATTTATGTATTGTAATTACGATAAACCTATAATGTGCTCGTATCTTTTTTTGTTTCTGCAACCTGTAGAAGCCCAGGGAATTAAGGATACAGAGGTGGATTCAATCATTGGTGCATGCCTGCCAGTGCAGAGATGCTAATAACTGTCGTCAGTGTCGTCTACCGAGTTGCCAGAAGATGAAGCGAGTGATGATGCATACAAAGAATTGCAGGAGAAAGACCAATGGCAGGTGTCTTATATCCAAACAGCTGATTGCGCTGTGTTATTATCATACTGCCAAACACTGCCAAAAGACCAAGTGTCTCGTTCCATTCTGTTCCAACATCAAGCACAAGATAAAGCAGCTACAATTGCAGCAACGATTACAACAATTGACAATCAACGATGATTCAGCGTCAACGTTGGATGTTGAATAAATATAACTTTTTTTTTCTTAAGATTTTTGTTTGCTGAAAATGAGCGTCAAGCGTCAACGTAAAAAAATGACGCCTTACGACCATCTAAAGATGTCATTTTTAAAATGTCTTGAAGACGTCCAAATAAAGTCTTTTTGTAACTATTTTTATTTAATGTTGTATAATAAAATAATAATAAAGACCACAAAATTAACTATAATATGTTTAATTGTTTCGCAACTTTATGATTGAAGCAATGAATATATAGTATAAGTTGACGCAGTTGCGTATGATTAGTGATTTCGGTTTCGTTTCCGTTAATGCCGATTGCGCCCGCATTCCTGGAGGCCTATTAAGCCTTGTGTCCACGATGCTAGAAATCACTCCGAGATCTTGTACGAAGAAAGAATTAACCAATCGCATTGGTCAATTGCCGAATTGTTTAAATGTGATTGGTCAATTTTTTCTCTGTCCGAGATCTCAGAGCGATTTCTAGTATCGTGGACACAAGACTTTACGGCTGCGTTCCGATATTCACTTCCAGTACTGAAAATCTATAAGTGCACAGTGCACGTAACGTAAAATACATGAGCATAGTTTATGTAGATTGTGGAAATTCAGAAGCCATAGGCAGAATGCAGATAGTAGATACCCATGAAGAATAGAGATACTATTCTTCATAAATGGAACTTTTACAAAAAGATTCACGAAATGCGACAGAATAAAAATCTTGTTTGCAAAAATTTTGAATTAAAAACTCAATTTCTAGTGTCTGAAGACAAAATAAATTTTTGCGAAATTTCAAATCCATAAAAAACATGATCGTTTATTGTAAAAGATTATTGCAGTAAGAACAGTTATATAAATACTTCTAAAAACTTACTGATATTAACAATTCTTATTGTACACATAATAATCCTTATACTATGATTTTACATTTTGAAATTATAAAAGGAGCGATCATTATTAATAATTATAATTAGAGGCCAAAGTAATAAATGCAAATATGTACGTAATAGTTATATTTGTGTAAAAAATTATAATCCGTTTATAAATTTGTTCTGACGTTATATGTTAGCTTTTTGGCATTCGATCGGTATCGAGTATGCGAGTCTGTACTGTACGATCAATTTCTCATATCAAAATTTATTAAAACATTTTATATACTACGCATTGTCAACTAGATATCCTGTTAAAATATAGCCAGCGGTATCGCTCGTTAAAATGTCGGGGTGCGTTCTGTCGGGCAATACTTGATACGAACGTAAGAAGTTCGTCAACAGTTTCACATTTATTACATTGCCTTTTTTCTTTAATTCTATGTAGGTCTCCTGCAAGGGCTCCCGATGCGCATGGAAGATGACAAACGGACGTGAGATACCCAAGAAGGGTAACAGCGCCGTCGCAATTTGTAAGGGATGCTCTTTTGCTACGATAGTTAAACCGCGAGCTTTCGTGCTACTTAACAAATCCACAGCGTGTTTCGTCTCCAACAACCATCTCGGTTTCTTTGCGGGCGCTACTTCTCTTTCGGGCTTTTCAGATTCGAGTTTCCGTTTTAAAGTATTGCCACCTTCCTCAGTGTCAGTTGTGAGAAGCGTACCGTTTTCTTTTGTCCCAGTTTTCAGCTCTAAAACTTCCGTATCCATTTCAGGTACTTGGTTATTTTTAGTTTCTCCGTCAAATTTTTCCGTTAATTTTTCGATATTATGCGTTTCAGTATTATTAACGACAGTCTTTTTAGACGTGGAAATATTGTCTATTATACTAGATTCACCTTGATAATGTAATCTCAAGAAACTATAGATATTCACTGCTACGTGCCTGTCTTTCAGTTCCTGTGGAAAATTCATGTCTTCGATGAACGTTGTTTGAGGCATATTACCGGGATGCAGGTTGATCAGGTAACCACTGGTACTCGTGCCTATTCTGTTGAGCATCGCCGCTGCGGGCAATCCCTGGTATCCGCTGCTGTACAACAAGTGCAAGCCTTCGGATTGGACGTCGCTGTAGGACAGTATCTGCGCCAGAGCGTCCATTCTCAGCCCTCCGATTTTCTCGTGTTTCCTCTTGAAGTATATCTCGTGCAGCGACAATACAGACGTCTTGTGTATCGTCAGAAACCTGAGGTACTTGCGCTCCTTCTTCTTGATATACTTCTCCTGCGAGTATTCCGTTTTGGCGGCGAAGGACTTGCTGTTCTCAATGAGGCTACCGATTATCTCCTTGCCAGTCTTGCCGGCCTCCTGCAGCTGCAGAATCTCCTCCTTCGACAGCCGCTGAGACGTCCCGTCGTCCGTGATGGAGCGATTGTCGTAACCGCTCAGCTCGCCCTTCAGATTATTCCACGAGTCTACCTGATCCGTTAGCTTCAGGGTGAAAGCACCTCTGCTGCCTGGCAACGGAATCATCTCGAAGGTGCTCCAAAACGGCTTGCCGATGATCTCGCGCATTTCTACCTTCTGGTCTTTCCCCAGCATCAGAATACCATTCTCGGACACCTTGTACACCTTGCTGAAGTCCTGTTTCTTGACTATCACGCTCGTGCCTACCGTGATCACGTCCTCCACGGACTCACACGTGTTTTCCGCAACTGCACTCATCATATACTTTGAATTATCCTACAGGTTAGGTCTTTTCAATTTTTCGTTCGAATTCTTTGCATATCTGGACCTAAAATTTATACATTTTTCTCACATACGCTTATTAATCTTTACAGATCGCTCCTTTACAAGCGAAGAAATAATATATCACCTTTAATGTTTTCCACCCCTTCCTCTTCAACCACATGCATTATGATATTTATGATGCATTCTCCGCCATTTTCGTTTTTTCTTTTTAGGTTAGAAAACGAAAGTGATAAACCGACCGACCAATCACAGCCGAGACCAAGCCGCTGAGTAGCAGTCAAACGTGATTGGCTCTTACTTTTAGAACCAACCAATCAACGCAGAGTGTTGATAAGACGAACTCAACAGTTGTGTCTGCTGAACGCGGCCAATGGTAGCCTTGTTTTCGCCTGTGATTGGTCGATTCGCTTATTGCTCCAGTCTTGTCATCGTCACCATTAATTTTAGGTTAGGCGACCACATGACTGTAACATGGCTGCACCGGATCGATGGTTTGATTCGCACTCTTCTAAAAATCGTGTGCTCACGTTACACAACCGCCCATTCTGATTGCAATTTTACATATTTTCCTATAAAGTGACAAGGTACAAAGTAATCTGAATGTAATCTTAACTACAGTTATCGCTATATTAATGTACAAGGCGCCTTTTGAATGATATTACAACGCACACTTGACGTAGGTATTACAAAGTCTTTAAAGTCTCCTTAACAATGTGCCTTACGTATCAATAATTGCAGAGAACAAAAATGAATCACCACAATGAATTCCAAGCCATCGTGCTCGCTGGAGGAAAAGGCTCCCGCATGACGGAGCTTACGGCAGGCAAGCCCAAATGTCTGTTGCCGATCGCAAACGTTCCCATGATCTGGTATCCCTTGCAGATCCTCGAACGTTCGGGTTTCAAAGAAGCGATCGTCGTTGTTGCCGAAGCAACCAAGTCCGACGTGTCGACGTCGTTGGATAAATTGGGTCTGAAAATCAAGATAGAATTCGTAGGGATTCCAGGAGCGGAAGATCTCGGCACGGCCGATTCTATCAGACTTATTCATGAAAAAATATACACGGATATCTTGGTGATATCCTGCGATTTGATCGCAAATGTGGACATATCGGAGATCCTGAATTTATACAGGAAACATAACGCGAGTGTAACCGCTCTGATGTTGCCCGCACCGAAAATGCCCGACGACTTTGTAACGCCAGGCCTGAAAAACAAGCAGAAACCGGAAACGGACTTGATCGGCATCGACAATAACACAGGACGATTGATTTTCTTGGCTTCCGCATCTGATTTCGAAGAAACGATTAACATCTCGCAGAGGCTTCTCAGGAAGCACGCTAGCTTCACCATGCACTCCAAACTGATGGACGCGCATTTGTACATTATTAACAAATGGGTGGTGGACTTTTTAATATTTAACAAGTGAGTGAACTTACTAGGGAAAAATGTTGAAGAGACTGAACGTAAGTCTAATCAAATGTAAAAATGTTTTTCAGAAATTTCACCACGCTGAAGGGTGAACTTTTGCCGTATATAGTCGGTAAACAATTATCCAGATCTAAACAATGTATGGATGATAAGACTTCCGTGGTACAAATGGATTTGAAGGAAGATATCTTCCATTTTGCAATGGAGGAACCATTGGATGAGTTGATAAGAAAGATGTCGGCCTTCAATGATCATAGCACCGATCTGGAGGATGCTTATAACGAGGATGTAATACGATGTTACGCTCATGTGTCAAATGAAAAGTTTGGTCTTAGAGCGAACACCGTGCAAATGTATCATCTTGCAAATGCTAAGGTTGATATGTTATCCACTTTACGTAGCTTTATGACAAAGGAATAATATATATTTTTCCAAAAGTATACGGGATCAATACGAGTCGACCACTCTCACACGGAGCCACGCGTTATCTTTAATAATATATATTATATTTACACTTCAATATATTAGAAATTAAAGGATCAATTTCAGCTAATTTAAGAAATATCCTGTACAGATATCAGAATGGTGGAGTGATGACAAGAATACCGATCAATTACCGCTGCTGCCGAGTATCTCGAGCACCGCGACTGTACGCAGTACGCAGATGCAAGAATGTCGCGTAGGCGATAATTCGTTGGTCGAGGAGAAAACGTCGTTGAAACAAAATCATATCGGACCTAACTGCACCGTGGAATCCAAGACAAGGATATCTCAGAGTGTCATAATGGGACATGTAATTGTTAAGCAAAGGTGTGTTGGTGGAGATATTTGTTAAATACGCGTACATTTACGAATTCGCTAAATGAATTTTTTTTACAGATGCGTTATTCACAACTGCATACTGTGCAATGGCTGTATCATCGAGGAAGGCACGGAGCTGAAGAATTGCTTGGTTGGAGCACAACACGTCGTGAAATCTGGTAGCCAACACTCTCACGAAGTACTCACTGATGCGGACAGACTCATAGAGATTTAATTATTTACCTTGTATTACGTATATATAAATGATTGTAAATATAATTAGATTATATTATTTGTAAAAAACGTTTAATATAAAAAAATTACCTTTTGTAATTGAGCAATTTTTTATTCAGATTGATAAAGTTACTACATAATTTAGATTAACATTTCTTTGGATGTTAAACGAGTTTTCTATTTTAAGAAATAAATCTTATTACTCAATTAGTTTACTAACTTAATTTTTTGCATTAAATAAATTTACCGTCCGAGTAAGAATTCCGCGATTAGTTCCAATGTTCCAATCAGCATGTGCAGAGGTCGTTTGAAAACACGTCGTTCCTATTGGTTGGCTCTCGACTGAACCAGACTGAACGAAAGAACGTGCGGAATCGGAACGGTGTCCATCGTCTCTTCTGGGTTGCTCTTTCATCTAAAATGGTGAGCGTCGTTTTACGTTATTCAAATCGATTCATTTCATAGCGATCCTAACGATCGGCCGATTTATCGGCGCAGAAAAGATGTCCTGAATTTTCGTAGAACTGTCGTAATTGAATAATATCGGGTGAAAAGAATGCCATTCCGTACGCTACTGACATAATACCGGTGTACAGGTTATAACAATGTTTATGTGTGACACGTTGAAATCATTTATTCCCCCCGGAGTATATTTATTTCTCATTTATTTGTTCATAGAAAGGATTAAAAATAGCCCTTTATATCGTTCTCCATCGTTAATTCTTTTTTTCTTAAATTTGTAATATGGAGTCTGACTACAGTTAAGTTCACTATGCTCCTGCTTGATGTTCACAGACGAAGGGTACATCCAGCTTTGGTAAGCGGCGTAATAAGACGCACACGTTGTGCAGGAGATGTGGACGTAGCTCTTACCACATCCAGAAGTCGCAGTGTGCGCAGTGCGGCTATCCGGCTAAGAAAATGCGTTCCTGTAAGTCGCTGTCGTGCAACGCGACAAGTTTGCACAGAAGACCGCCTGTTATGTTTATACAAATATCGAATATTTAATGTTGGTTCAGGAATATTAATTAGATTTGTATTTGTCGACTTCACAGATAATTGGTCGGTCAAGGCGAAGAGGAGGAAGACCACTGGTACTGGCCGCATGCGTCATCTTAAAATCGTGCGCCGTAAATTCAAGTAAGCTACAGAATGGTTATGTCAAAAATGTAATAACTAACGAACGTTAAAGCAATTGATCTATACATTTTTTAACAATTATTTACAATTATTTTATGCCTTCTGTCTTTTTACACTTTTTTTTTATTAAATGATGAAAGATATATAAACACATTATCTAATTTTTTCCACAATTCATATAATGTATACAACACATATAAACGATTATTTTGTATATATTTATAGAAATGGATTCAGGGAAGGCTTGCCGAAACCCAAAGCTGCTGCGGCTAAGTAATTATCGACATCCTGTCTTATTGTCTAATTAAGTTGTACAATTTTGACTACCAATAAAAAATCTAAAAAATCCGATCACAACATTATAGCATCTCAATAATAATTCCTTGTAATTAAGTAATTCTAACGATCATTGCATTTATCGAACTATTTTCTTCTTTAAAAGTATTTGTAGACAAAGAATTTTATAATATGAAACTATATGAAGTTTTACGAGCACTTATTACACCGAAGCATTGTAATTTCTCTGTAGAATTCCATTCATATGAATGATGATAAAGTTAAGTAAGATAGCTTAAAATTAAGCATACTCTTGTTTGTTATCTTAGTTCCCCTTCCATTTCTTTCTTCTATTGATATATTGAATAGCGTTTACAAACACGTGAGATGAACTTCTGATAAACCTGTGTGTATACGTATCTTTATGTGTTATATCATATCTGACAAGAAAATTTGAAGAAACGTGCGACCGAAAAGATAAGGCGCGTTGTCTATCGTTTGCGCAATCTCCGCGGAATTTTTAATTGCCGGCGACGGCTTTCCATATATTTAGCGGTCCCCCGACCTCGCCAAACAGTACGTTCGATGCAAGATGATAACTCGGGCGATCGGTGCAGCTCCATTGTGCATCTAGGCATCCGCCGATACTCCACCCGAAGACTATCGATCTTCAACCTACCAATTTGAGAGTTATGCCACGCACCAATATTCAGCGAATATTTCGTTTCCATAAGCACCGAAGAATCAAGAAGATTGGCTTGATTAAATAACAGTAAAGAAAGGAAACTCTTAGAAAACGCATTTAATAACGAATTCAAACAGGCGACTCAAACGAAATTTGGTCGAGAAAACGGATATTAATTAACGTTTCTAGTACACACGTATAATTCTTGAGGAATATTTGCAATTACGGATAATTTCTGTTTTTCGACAAATCTATATTGTAATATCAAACGTTAAAACGAATTTTATCACAAAATTTATAATATAATTCTATACAAATGGGCATTCTGCGTCAGCTACTGTTTGGTAAGTCTTTTATTTTTAGTTCCACATTAAAATAATAATAAAATAATAGCCGCTTGATTGTCTGAAATTTATATTTTGGGCTGTGCAGGTAAATATCTATTAGTCACCAACACTGTGAGCTGTGGGTTGATGATGGCAGCGGGAGATGTGATCCAGCAACGCAGCGAACATTGGAAGAAGCATTGTTCTGACAAAAAATACTTTCCGAGCAGTGTCATAGCGGCGTCACCGGAAGATGAAAAGGTGACGGCGATTTCCAGCACATCTGCATACGGACACGATTACATGAGGACCAGGAATATGACGGTTGTAGGACTGGTTCAAGGTCCGTTTCATCACTGTTTCTACACGATTCTTGATAAGGTTTTGCCAGGCAGAAACGCAAAGTCGGTCCTGAAAAAAACATTTCTCGATCAATCGATCGCGAGTCCCACGTGCCTGGGGATATTTTTTGTCGGCCTCGGGATTCTGGAGAGTCGCAAAATTAAGGAGATCTGCGAGGAACTAAAGCTGAAATTCGGCGACACGTGGAAAGTACGTACACGGGATTATATTCCTGTAATCGATATTTCAATAATCGTAGAGAGCGAATTTGTATAACAATTAAAATTCAGAGAAACTGCTATCGAAAGTTTTCTTCTTAAAATATGTATAAATGTATGCAATTTATTAAAATTATTTTGTCAGGTCGACTGCTGTTTCTGGCCTCCAGCGCAATGCATTAATTTTATTTTTGTGCCCCTGCATTATCGAGTACTTTATACGAATGTTATGACGATGGTCTACGATATTTTTCTATCATATATGAAATATGTAAGTTTTGCCTGTGTACGTTTACAATCAGAATGCACGTTAAATTTTGAGCAATCGCAATGAAATAATATAATTACTTATTTTATCCACAGGACGCTCACTTCGAGTGACAGAAATCTCATGGCTAGTCTGAACAAAAGATATGACTGCGTAAATAATAATTGCGAAGTATTCATTGTATATACATACGTCTATTGTTATTAATTATATTGTACGTAACAATGTGAAATAAAATGCTATCGGAAAAAATTTCCAAGTAATATTACCGTATATCTTCCCGTTGCGACGCCTTATCACGATCCGATATCCGATCTATTTGTTCATTTCCACGATTTTTACCAGATGATAAATAAAGCGACGAGTAATCATCCGTCGCAGTTCCTGTTGTGACATATGCAAAGAATTATTGATAACAATTAAAACTCGGATGTTAAAATATCAAGATACTGCTTTTTATAATTGCAATATTTCACGGTGATTTTCATCGAAAAAATGATACGTTGAACGTTTTGTTATTAATTGCAACTTCGACTGGGCTAATCTCAAATCGTAATTACGTCAAGGTAGAAGAAATTTAGATCCAAGTTCGAATTACGTTATATTACGTTCTGCGAGAACGAGACACCTCGTAACGTTGTTAATTTATATCCGAATGAATCAATAAAAAACTCGGAAGTTTATCGGCGTCACTCAAACCCGAATCGTAAATTAATTCGTGGAAGAATGCGCGGCGAGCAATTGCGAAATAACGGCGATCGCGATCGAAATTGATCTGCGGACTCCGGACATGCGACGACGCATATCCACAAAAATGCGTGTCCACAACAATCGCCTTATCGCGTGGAATAATCTCTCATTGAGTTTATTTATTTGCTCGACCGCTTTTGTTTGGCATTTGGCGACAGTAAGATTACACGGTCTTCTAACCAGACGTCGTCACCGATTCGAGCACAAACACGGTTTAATGGCGTAAACACAAACAATAAATTCAATTGTCGCGCGACATAAATAATCGACGAGAATATTTTTTTACGTAAAATACAGAATTTTTCCAACCAGGCCTCGCCGATGCGTCGTTATTCGCCTGATGTTGCACTTCGCCAGTAAGCACTGCGCCCTATAGAATTGTATAATTAATATATAAACTGTAACACTTAACATTTCTATAAAAAGCAAGGATGTGTGTATATCGCGAGTAGCGCGAGTAATCATGAGTACATCAAGATCTCTATACTTGTTTCGTAAATTTGTTTACGCCATATTATTTTATCTCGGACAAAGACGATCATAATACTTGTCCTATATATGCTCTTTTTATACCTTTGCTTATCTCTCACTTTGTTTTCTGCAATGGTACATAATAAATTGTAGTTTCAAACTTCAATAGATTATCTACGATATCGTCAGTGTGATCGGAAATTTTTCGTCGTGATAACAAAATATCCTTTGTACATATCAGTATTATCTTCCTTGTCTTCTACAGCGTTAATCTGCAACCGTAAAATTTCAAGATTAATTACGTTTAAACATGTCTTTCCGTTAAGCATCAATTTTATATGAGATTCTGGACTCTTGATTTTTATTATTAACGATAACGACTAATCAACTCAATTCTTTTTGTCAAGTGAACAAGAGCACTCCTCAGAACGACTTGGACTTAAACTCTGATTAAGTTACTCATCAGCGATTAACTCAAATGATATAATCGCTTGCAACAAGATTTCTATCTAATAAATAATTCGTCATCCCTAATCTAATCTTTCTTCGCGTCAAAAAAATTAACGAATTTGTTTTTGCTAATAAAAAAGTTAATAATTAACTTAATCGGCCGTGTTATCGGTAGATCAACTGACAAATGTCCAGTTGTTAATGCACATAAATTAACTTTTTAATTTCGGTTTAACTTATTTTTACCTTCTTTTAATTCTTTTAGAACTACAAAAAGATAAAAAATTATGCGGTAAGATGGAACATATCTTCTTGCATTCCTAACTGTTCTCAATTAAATTTAAAAAAAAATACTTGGTTTTTAATTTTTTTCTTACTTTAATAAATATATCTATCTAATCAAAAATTTTGATTAACTTTGCGAAAACCTGATTAACATACATACAAATTGTGCAAATTAGAAATTTGCACATGGCTTCCTCATAGAGGAAGCTTTAATAACTTCCGCAAATTTTTGAAGATATCGATCTATTTCTAATTTTATTATATTTTTCAGTCTTTTCTACCCCTATTTCATATTTAACTCTTTTAAATTCGGTTAATTAGACTTATTGTTAGCTTTATATGCGATCAAAATTATGGACCTTTGATCGCGTATAAAGCTGGGTCTAATCAACTAAATCTTAAAAAATTATATATGAAATAGGGGTAGAAAAGATTGAAAAATATAATAAAATTAGAAATAGCTAGATCGATATCTCCAAATTTGCGGAAGTTAAAGCATAAACGAACATTTCTATAAAAACTCGAAATTTTATTAAAAAAGAACCGCTTTACCGATCATTGCCAAATTCAATCCCAACCTTCCTTACATGATACTCTATCGATTAAAAAATATAATTCTTTTAAATTCGGTTAATTATACTTAGCTTTATATGCGATCAAAATTATGGACTTTTTTATAGTTTATAATAAAATTAGAAATCGACCGATATCTCCAAATTTGCGAAAGTTAAAGCATAAACAAACATTTCTGCAAAAATTCAAAATATTAAAAAAGAACCTCTTGATTATTAGCAATTTTTATTAATTCTATTATATTCTTCAGTTTTTTCTACCCCTATTTCATATATTATTCGTTAAGATTTGGTTGATTAGTTCTGGAGTTATAGAAATTTCGGCAAATTTGGCACATATACACACACATACATACATACAGACATTTTTTAAAATTGCATTTTTTCGACGTTTTAGAACATTCTGAACACATTCAGAAAAACAAAAAAAAAATTTTTTACGAAAACAAAGCTTCCTCTATGAGGAAGCAAAAATCATTTTAACCGAAATTAAAGTTAATCTACATATTGTTATGGACGAAAATTTGCTTTAGGTAAAATATCTAACTATATAATTCGTTATTTTTCATCTAATCTTTTTAATTTTATCCTTATTAACAGGACAGTACAGCTATTATTATTTGATTAATTACCAATTAATTGTAAGTTAATCGAAATTATCCTTATAGGATATAAATAACGAACTATGAACGAGTGAGAGAGAGAGAGAGAGAGAGAGAGAGAGAGAGAGAGAGAGTGAGAGAGAAAGAGAGAACGAGAGAATGGAAGGAAGGGCGAGAGAGAGAGAAGTGGTGGGGGAAGTCGGAACGGCCGATGATTATTACCTGACTTCAGTATGCTCGAAATTTTGGTTATATCGAGTAGAGATTTATTTATTTCTTGAACGTGCAGATGTCCGAGGCATCGCTTAATTGCGCTTTTCCGTGACGGTATCCGTGGCAAATGAGATCGGCGCGCTCGACGTAGCATGCATCTCCACTCGACAAGTCACCTGAAGGTTCTCCTCGTTTAATTGGCCTACATAACCCCTACAACAATTATGAATTTGCAAACGCTTTTTCAAGACTTCAATCCAAGGTAACTCTCATTCCAAGTCATTCGTCACATTCGACACTCGAATCGGCGACTCGTCACCTTCGTCGCGATTGGCACATTATTCATAAGTGTGGACAGAAATACAGAGCTAATTAATTATATATTCCAGCAAATTTCTGGTGCACACATGCCTGATGATATTCACGTCTCTGTTCGCTCTTCGATTGGACGGCTTCATCGAATGGAGTTATTGGTCGATATTCAGCCCGATATGGTTCTGGAAAGGCATGGTGATCCTGGGAGCGATGGTCGGGAGCTACGTCTGGTGGAGGCATCCCCACGCGAGATTAGAAGGGGATGCCTATGTACATTATAAAGCAATGCTGATTACTCTGGCATTGCACCTAATCTTGTTGATGTTTGAGTTGTTGGTATGCGACAAATTAGAATCTGAGAGACACTTGTGGATACTGGTGTTCATACCCTTGATTTTCATCTCAATAGTATCAATTGCAGTAAGTATAAATTACTTTTTTCAAATTGCTGCAGCAATTGCAGCTGCCAGCATTTTTATCAACGTGTACTATCACCTTTTGATCTCTGTTATGATTCAGGTTTGCATCTGGGCTGTAAAACACGATCGGTCGTTCGAACTGGAACTGTTTTGCGCAGTGAATGTATTACAGTTTATCTTTTTGGCTTTGAGATTGGACGGCTTCATAACGTGGAGCTGGGAAGTTGTGTTCGTGCCGCTTTGGGCACTTCTTTGTTTATCTTTAGTGGCTGTTTTGTACGCGATAGTATTCGCCGCTGTTTTACTGAGAACGCCGCAGATCAATGCCCGCCAGAGGCGGACCTCCTTGCACTCGGCGGTGGCGTATACATTTCTAGTTGTTCCCATTTTAGTGTTCCAGGTATAACTAGCGCATTGTTTCATATATGGTTCTTTAAAAGAGTCATAATTGACTTAATTTTTGCTCTCCTAGTATTATTTAACATAAATTATTCTGTTTCAGGTATTGCTAGCGAATAAATTAGACGGAGATATTTCAATAAATTATATAACAGTGGCAATGCCACTCCTCCTGTCGCACATGACACTTATTTTTATGTCCTTTGGCGCAAAAGGTGGAAATAGATGTGAGAAATAATTTTGTTTTTATTATTTAGTAATAGGATAATGATATATCATTTTTTTCTCTTGATATAACATATGTATAAGATTATTTCGTTATTAATTTTATTTAGCGTGTAAGAACGATGGAATTTTTGTCTAGGGTGGTTTGGTATCAGAAAAGACTTTTGTCACTTCCTGCTAGGTTTATGTCCATTGCTTCAAGAATATGGTAATATATCGTATCAACCAAGGGACGAGCGAGATCAACCACCATCCGAGCCAATGATTACGGAAAAGAGCGAGAAGCTTATTAAGAAAATCGACCTAATGAAACCTGTTGTGCCTATAATCTCTATAGACATGCCTGACTGATTGGCTCAAAACAGGTATTTGTCACGAAGATGTGTTTAGAAAATGTGTTAAGGCCGAAGAGCAGACTTTTGCATAACGCATAATGTATAAGGATAAAAAAATGGATTGGTCTATTTCCTTATGCATATATATATGGATCAATCAATTTTCTTATGCATTTTATGCGTTATGCAAAAGTCTGTCCTTCAGTCTTTACATGCAACGATACGTGTAATGCAGATTGACGATGTCTAAAGTTTTTCATTCTGGTATCTTGCAGGGTTAGCTCGGATATTTTTAAATTGTTATTTTTAATGCAACTGACGTATACAGAGGCCAAATATCTACTATAAAATGATCAGGTATACCTTTAAATATTAAATGGAACTAAATACGGATAATTTAAAATAGCTGTATTTGCTTATATTAATTACTTCTCTTTATTCTAGGCCTTATTAAACAAAGAGATCGAATTACACGGATATATATGTCGGCTGGGATACAAGACTGAGCACCTCGCATCTCTCTAGAGTAGCATTGTCAGGACGCGTTAAAAAATGAAGAAAGGAGCGGCTGGATAAATTAGAAAAGTGATATTGCTGTTAATGTTGCTGGACATCGTAATGTTAAATGCCCAATCATTTATTATATAATAATGTAGAAATAATGTATATACAGAGACTGTTATATATCATAATAATATTACGTATGGATATTGAATATTATACGGGTCTACCATACGCGACGACGGTAGACAAGTGCTAGTAACGTTACATTATTTTATATATATATATAAAACATCTAAAAAAAATACTATTATAAACTAATAAAGTTTCTATTTTTTGGTATCAACAGCAACGATCAATTAATTTCTGCGGTACTGCTAATTCAACAGACGAAACGATATTGCACGTAGAATATATCGAGATTATTTCAGATTTTTAGTACTATCCAGCAGTTTTACTGCAAATGTTACAAGCATTATAAACATGAAAGTGAATACGTTGAATTTTCTGTTCGACATTGCAAAATCTCTGTAAGTTATTATGTAATTTGTGAAAAATAGAAAACTACGTCGTGAATATTTTATTTCGTCATGTATCCTGTTACGGCTGTAAATTACGTTGAAACCTCTTTTTCACTTCTCAGGAGATTACCACAATGGTACGTACTCTGGTATCCACGTTCGACCAAGGAGCGAAGATAAGTTCGTCGACACTTTAGCGATATCGAGGTCCGCATCTTCTATCAGCGATGTTTCCGAAACATACAGTACCTGCAGACGATGTGCGCACAACGCAACGAATTTCGCTAACCCAGAACAACTATAAGAGTGAAAAAATTGTTATTATTTCTTATTAATATTCTGTTGGAAGGGTGATTGATGTCTTTGACATATATCACTGCCGCCTGCCGCACTACAGTACTGAAATATGTATCAATAACGAGATATTTTTGCAAATTACCCAAATTGATGATGCGAAATTAAACATTAGTGTTAAACAAAGTAAAGACGATAATTTTTTTAGTTTTCAAATTGCGTATCTTCATGAAAGCATTGAAACTTAAATTTGCAATATTTTTGAGTTTTCTCAATATTGAATTAGGGCAGCGATGTATATATATGTTGCATCTTTATATTCACATACGTAATTTCGCAATCGCCCAAACCGACGGCGCTAAGCCGCGGGCAGTTCTTGGCCACGGAAATCAGGAATCGATCAATCGGACCACATCCATAAGCGGCGATAACTAATTCAATCAATTGTGGATATTGCTTGCTTATCCGTGACATTGTCGACTCTGATGTTTCGTCACCAAGGTACAAATGCGTTACGGGGATGTGCGACGTGAAGAGTAATTTTTTATCATCGTCGTCGGTCATGTAAGATAGTCTAACGAAAAATAGAAGATTAGCTGTAGCTTACTTTGACTTCCATTCACATCGCGTGGGTATTGTAATAATCACACGCGACCAAAGATTATTGGTTTATTTTTACTTACAGCGCGAGATTTATGTCGGGCAAACGATTTGAAAACGCGGACCACGCTTTGTCGCTGACACATGGAAGAGGCTTCGCTTCCGGATGTGCCTCCACTCGTAGAGTTTCCAAGTGAATTTGCTTTACCGAGCACAAAGCTGAGAGCAGCTCGTCGCTCAGCAAAGCATACGATAAAGATAATTCGCGAAGCCATCGACAATAATCGGCCAAAGCGAGAATGCCTAAAATAACGAGTTTGTAGCGTATGTACGTGCAATTTACGAAATCGCAAACTTAACTTTTTATTCGTTGCTATCGGTGACACCATATGCGGTCTTCGAATTACCTTCGGGCAATAGTCGCGGAAATCCTTTAACTCGCATAAGATGCAACGTTCTGGGATCGTCGTTATTCCAACGATGATTCTTCCTGCGTTTGACATTCTTAGTCTTGGAGATCGTTACTGCGGATTTAAAATGCTCATCGATCTCGAGCTTCGCCGTGCTTGTCACCGCAAACATTTGCGACAGTTGAAATGTTTAGTTTCGCATCACTCTTTCAAACTGACTCGGTGAAAATTTTGCCGACTAAAACAGTACAATGCGAAAATTCAGTGAGTATTTCACTCAATTTTCTCATCTTATTTTACAGAATTGAGCAATTTAGTTTCTGAGAAGCTCATATATTTTACTTTTTTTTAACTTTTAAGCTTTTTCACTGTTCCCGGCATTTAATATCACTCTAATTGAATTGCTCTATTATTAACTGCTGAATGCGGCGTAAACTTATAACTGTTGCGCGTATTTTTCTGGATTTCAATGGTAATACACTGATTCCGTTTAAGAGAATACGTTAATTAACACGTTCAATCTTACGCGGTATTCGAACATTCTACCGTGATGAGAGAAGCTCTGGACACTGCTGCAAAAGTATTCGCGCGATGGTCTCGATAATAAACCGAAGATATGCTCTTTCGTTCTGCGGCGAATCACGGTCCCTGGTCTAGCTCGACTCACCGAGATAGGTGCTAGGAAAAAGCGAAAGGAGTTTACGGAAGTGGGGACTAGGGCATACACGCGAGGAACGTTAAGTAAAAGTAAAGTCGCGAAGAAAAGGGTCAAGGACTTCGAGATTGCAGATATTATTCGCGCACTGCTCACGTGTATCACATAAAAAGAAAAGATCTTTCACATGAGGCTACAACGGGGAAAACGTGATAAACGTGATAAACGGGGAAAACGTGATCCAAGATAAGTTTATCACGTTCTTCCTCTGGATTCTTTCAAATAATTACTTCGAGATGGAGAAAATATTGAAATAAAGACTACAATAAAGTTTTCATTTGGTTTGCAATGTTTGCATATTTCTTGACTATAATATGGAATCTAATGTTAATCACGCGATAATCGTAAAATCTTACATAATAGCTAATCACCTGCAAAATATTATATCAAACGGTTAAAGCAATAATGTCTTTTAATCCAGGATAGACACGTCGAATCGATGAAGTTTCTTAAATGCAATGATAATTTTTTGAACATTACCATCGAACTGGTGACCGTTTACTTATTTAGTTATTAATGACTCGCACGTGACGTTCCTTTCACTAATAGTAAGACGTCCACGTGCCAGCAAGCTCACGTGCATGGACCATTCGTGCCCCTTCACATCTTTCCGACATTCGTGAAGGCCGCACTCCCAGTCAGTTATATTAATATATATTAGTATCGTTTTGCTCGGAAGTTATATAAATTTAAACGTTTTTTTTTCTTTTAATAAATTTATCTTAATTTTCTGTACAGTGTATAATTAACACTACATGTTTACTGTATGTGTCATTATATAGTTAATGTCTAAAAATATATAAAAACAATTCTCTCTGTTTCTCTCATATTACTTGAAAATAAAAAATTTAAGATTTGATTTCGCTTTCATCTTCGAATCCTGCCACAGGCCATTTTTTCAAATGATCTTTCAGGACGAAGGGGAAGAGAGACAATACTTTGAAACAATTGCCCATTTTATCGTCATCGGTTATCATACGATATCCCGATTCAATTTGTTCTTTTTCAACGCTAGTTGCGTTCTGTAAAATCATTTTTAACCGTAAATCAATGCCGAGGCTTTTCAAGAATTTTCTCTGCGTCACCGGACCAAACACGATTAATCTATCATCTTTTTGTGCAATCTCTTTCATTAGTAAAAAGTCAACATCCGCAGTCAGATCCGCGGTTCCTGGGTTTAACAAGGGATCATGTAACTTATGTTGGCGGAATGCGCGAAATGTATCAGTCTTTTCCCTCTCGTGGCCATAATCAATCACCAGCGCAAATCCTCCGTGTTCCCATAAAAATTGGGACATGTGGTCTACTATTACGGAACACTGTGGACTCATTTCCACATGATCCCTTTTCTCATGCGGCTGAAAGAAATCGCTTTCATTAAGGGGATGCTAAAGCTGTCTGTAATACTTACACTCGTTTTTAACAATATTTGCTTCGTATAAAAATTCTACATAATTGATGTTACAAAATGAGGATGCAGGTCCATTCAGTAGACATCAAGGAATATCATACCGTTTGTAGAATTAGGCTGAGACTCTAAACAAAAAAGTTAAACGAAAAGTACGATAATGAACTTTTTTGTTTGGAGTCAGCCTAATTCTACAAACGGTATGATATTCCTTGATGTCTACTGAATGGACCTGCACCCTCATTTTGTAACATCAAGTTGTAGAATTTTTATACAAAGCAAATATTGTTAAAAACGAGTGTAGGTATTACAGACAGCTTAGGATCACCTTAATCCACTATCTAAAACTTGAACGCTACATAGCATTGCAAATAAATGCTTACAGATAGGTACACTTTACAAGCAGCCGTTGGCACCTGCGAAAGTACATATCGAAATCTCTCTTCCTGCGATTCCTGCACTATATCTATTAAGACTTCCCTCCAACCTTTGTCAGTTTTCTATAATCAAACGTTACTCTTGTTTTAACATAATTTTTAAATTATCCTTTTTGTATCTTTTATACATCAATATCGAAGTTTCGACATTTCTGTACCTGGAACTTGTGTATTGGGAGAGCATCAAAAAATTCCTGCGCTACAAATACACTGAACTTTCCAGGAACGTCGTTGATAGAATAATACCAATATATATTTACTCCTTCTCTCGTAACACCCTCTTTATAATGAGTGACAGAATTCTTTTGGTCTTCATTGACTCTTGGCTCAATATCTCTGCTTTCTGTGCACAATTTCTCTGCTTGAATCGCAGCCAAAACAGGGCTAATTTCTACCAGATGAATCGATATTTTATTTGAGAGATTTAGTTTCTTGAACACCTAAAATAAGCGACGTTTCATCATTTTCACGCTTGTATGTTTGATTTGCGAACAACAGCATATTAAAAGTATACCCGTATGATATCACTGATCAAGGTACCTCTTCCTGGACCTAGTTCCACGAGTTGAATAGAATCCCTGCTAATTTTTCTCCATTCGCTGATTATCCAAATTGCTACAATCTATTAACGATGATTAATATACAAGCTATTTCCGGGCAATTAATTTCCTGACAAGCTCCAGACAAATAATCGTAAATGATAAGAGGAAGAGATAGATTTCAAATTCTTAGCAAGAACATCAACGTAACGCCAATTTTATAATCTTTTATGAAGTCGTCGACGTAATTAATATATCAGATAATGGATCGCATTCAACTCGAGAATGAGAGAGTTACATACTTCTCCAAAAAGTTGACTGATTTCTGGAGAAGTTGTGAAATCGCCTCTTTGCCCGAAAACGTCTCTGGTTGTGTAATAACCCGCAGTAGGATGGATCAAGATCTCCTTCATGTATTCGGCGAGCGTTATGGGACCGCACGCCAATATTTTTGCATATAATTGACGATACAGATCCGTTTTCTTTTCTAAGCTGCTCGACGAGCATCTTATTTGCGATAAACGAGAAAAAGTTCGCGCTAATCGAAACAGCCTAATCATGTTAAATACTTGCGCTTTATGTAGAAATAAATATATATTTACAATAATTATAAATTATTTATATAACTACAATTCGTGAAACTGTGCAATAATTGATTTTTATATGAAAATTATTTTCATATAAATTAATCACAACCTCTTTGGGCGATATAGGTTAGATTTAGGTTAGATTTATTGGTTAGGTTAGTTTGTTAGGTTTTCCATGAACTGGCCCATGAAGTAAGGAATAACGATAGAAAGTAGAACTTGAAAAGAATTTGATTATCGAGCAATTATCGAGAGAGCTTTGTTACCGGTTGAGTGTCAATATGGCGCACTTCTAGCAGTACAGGCGTGTATGAGTGCAAAAAATCCAGATATACGTGCACATGTGGCGTAGGCGTAAAGCTGTGTTATTTTACTTGATTCAAATTTTTTACATCTTTTAAACATAATTTTTAAAAGTGCGTGATCTATTTTTGGCAAATGGATATCGGAGAACTTTTATCTTATAAGGTGCGTATTGGAATTATTCTGCAGCGGCTTGTATAATTTATATTTATCTCGAAATAGTAATATATATTTTGTTTCATTTAACCTCTCACTTATGTGTCATGACTTTTGATTTATCGGGAATTTTCATCGTGAAATTGAAAATTTCACGATTTGCTCTTCCGTTCGTTACAAATAACGGCGATAATGATAATTAAACGATGGTAATGTGTACAGCCCCCAAACACACCGAAACGACCGACAGCGGGAGAGGAAGACGACGACGATGAATGGGAGAGCGTGAAGAAGCCAAAGAAGGTGATAAAGACCCCGTATCATGCACGTCAACGACAGCCTAAGGAGCTCGACGTCGTACCGTCCAGGAACGATGAACCTGCTACACCTGTCAGAGCTGCTTTGCCCTCGCCAGCTAACGACGTGGTCGAACCGCAACTAACGGAGAAGGAAAAGCAAGATATATTGAAGTATGTGGAAACCGAGGCGCCTGAAGTCGAAGCGTTGGATGAAGCGACGCTCAAACGTATGATTCTTCTATTCGAGAAGAGAGCTCTGAGGAATCAGGAGATGAGAGTCAAATTCCCAGATCAACCGGAGAAGTATGTGAATACGTAGAAGCTAAATGTCGGATTGACAAAATCTCAATGTATAATTGTTTTCGGTTTCTTTTTGGCCTTTTGCAGGTTCATGGAATCCGAAGTAGAACTGCACGAAACTCTGCAAGAGCTTCATATTGTGGCAACCAATCCAGATTTGTATCAGTTAATGGTAGAGTTAGGTGCCGTACCTTCATTGCTAGAATTGTTGTCTCACGAAAATACTGATGTAGCAGTTGGCGTGGTAGATCTTCTGCAGGAATTGACTGACGTAGATATATTACACGAAAGTCAAGAAGGCGCGGATACACTTATCGATGCTTTGTTGGAGCAACAAGTTTGCGCTCTCCTAGTACAAAATCTCGAGAGGCTTGATGAAACAGTGAAAGAGGAGAGCGACGGTGTTTTTAACACACTTGGTAATTACTTAATAAACGTGTATATCGTTTATCTTTCTGCAAAATAATGTTTCTACTAGATTAACTCAACGACGGTTTTGATTTCCAGCCATTTTTGAGAATCTACTGGAATTTAGACCAGACCTATGCGCGGATGCGGGAAAGCAGGGTCTGATGCAATGGTTGTTACGTCGAGTTAAAACTAAAACGCCTTTTGACGCGAACAAACTTTACGCCAGTGAACTCCTGTCTATACTTTTGCAGCATACGCCAGAAAATAGACTCCTTTTAGGTGACTTGGATGGAATTGATGTTTTACTACAACAATTAGCTGTATGTATTTGTATGTTTCTAAGCCCTTGCATATATATATAACATTACCAAGCTCTTGAATTATCTTAAAACCGATTATTTACAGTATTATAAGAGACACGATCCGCAGACTGCAGAGGAACAAGAGATGATGGAAAATTTGTTTAACGTTTTGTGCTCAAGCTTAATGGCTACTGTAAATCGAGATAGATTTCTGCGTGGCGAAGGCCTCCAACTTATGAACTTAATGTTACGAGAAAAAAAGATGTCTCGGAATGGATCTCTCAAAGTGGGTTTATTCGCAACAGACTTTGTTGGATTTGTATAAATTACTACAGTAAAATTATAGGTTTTAGATCACGCTATGAATGGCCCGGACGGAAAAGATAACTGCAGCAAATTTGTAGATATTCTTGGATTGCGAACTATATTTCCTCTGTTTATGAAAACTCCAACAAAAAATAGAAAAAGAATGCTTACTGCAGAAGAGCATGAAGGTATGGCCTCGATATATCTATTAATATTAGTAAGCAAAATTCCAACTTATTTAACTGTTTATAGCGAAATAATAAATAATTAATTTTGTAGAACACGTGATTTCAATCATAGCAAGCATGTTAAAGAACTGTAAAGGACAACAGCGTCAAAGATTACTTAGTAAGTTTACGGAGAATGATTATGAGAAAGTGGACAGATTAATGGAATTACATTTCAAGTATCTTGAAAAGGTAGAAGAAGTGGAAAAGAATGGGAAGGTACGTGCACAATGAAAAACATTTAACAGAGACATCTAAAAATGAAGATATATAAAAATGTACGCTCTCTTTTTATTTTTATCATAAGGACGATGAAGACGAAGAAGAATCGTACTTGAGAAGATTAGACGGCGGGTTATTTATATTACAGTTAGTAGATTATGTACTTTTAGAAGCTTGCACTGGTTGTCCGCCTGCAGTCAAGCAACGAGTGACAAGAATCTTGGCGCAGAGAAGAGCATCCCTTAAAACAATTCGCCACATCATGAGAGGTAAATTATGAATAGTATAAAACCTATCTACATATTTAATCGTATTAACAATGTATTCATTCACATGTTTTTTGTTTCAAAACCAGAATACGCCGGTAATTTAGGAGATGCCGGTGATACGGAATGGAAAGAAGCAGAGCAACAACATATCTTACAATTAATTGATAAATTTTGATATGTATTTTCTGTATTATTAAAATATATTGTTATAACATAAGACTCAATAACTTTATATTATTATGTAATGTACAATATAATAAACATACCATTATAGAAGTATGAGTATATAAAAAAATGTGTTAAATAACTACTGTCGTTAGGTTGAGACAGGCTAATACACTCTGAGTGCAATTTTCAGTATTGTTAATTATATTGCATCACGAAATTATGTACAGTGCTATTACCTGTAATCATTGCAATGAGATTGATCGTAATAATTAACACTTAAATTCTCATTACTGTATTGTTTGTAATTGGTATTACTTTTAATCTTAATGTACCATCGCATTCTGAATAATGTATATAATAATACTCATTCTCATAATATAAATGAAGGAAAGAAATAATAAAGTGCCGATTTCTAAATTAAAATATTTCATCTCGTTCCTAATTATATTCTATTTTTTATAAATTCATACTTGCAGAATTTCAAAATTATAGAAAATCACGGCTCTTGGAAATATTAAAAAATTCTTGAAACTTTTAATAATGCAATTTATCCCAGCCAGCACGCATGTTTAAGACTACGTGAAGACCTCTTTAAGATGTCTTTTACGTGTGCTGTCTAGGCCTGGTCAAGTATGTTCTTCTAATACTTCATCGATTTTTGAGAAAATTTTTGGAAAATAAGAAAATTATTAGAATTTTAGACAGTAGCAGGTCGTCAGAATGCATTCTTTAGAGAAAAAATTTTAAATTTTGTTAATCTCAGCACAAGAGTGTATGCTGTTAGCTGTTATTAGTAATATTAATAATCTCGTTAAAAAATCCATGCTTCTCGAAACGATACTCACGTAAAGAAGGGTAAGAAGCCAGGACCACACATTCAATCTCTGCCATTATCGCGATCATAGACGGTCACAAGAAGCTGCCGGCTTTTCACACATGTGATATCAGAAAATATCGAAACAGAAATAATTACCATCATAAATGCTTGATACATAATTTATTACAAAGATATAAATTTTATTATAAAAATTATCAAAAAGGTTTGTCTTCATTACAAACAAAACTAAAAGCCATTGTAATAATATTTCACGTTACCGCATCCACTCTTGTTATATTTACAATCCATTTATGCTCGACTGATATAAGATAATCGATTCAACAAGTAAATAATGGCTTCTTGGATTATAAATATAAGTAGAGATTATAAATATAAGACATTCCGGAGTGTCGGATTTCAGTCTTTTGCAGTTTATTTCTTTCATTTCGCACACGCAACCTTTTTTTTCGGCACGAAACACAGCCTTCAGTTTGTATCGATAACTTAAATTACGCATATCATTTACGAACAAAGACTTTGGTAGATAACTACATACTGATTAATATAATTCACGCACCCAAAGCCTCTAATCGGTTTGCAACAAGCGAATGGGTTCTTTCCGCTATAGAGATAATCTACCTCCTTACCTAGAATCGTGTTAATTTTGTTTATCCCATTCTGAAAACATTGTAGCAAAGTAAACCCTAAGACGAACGGACAATTTTGTTTCGCTATCGCATGTATGGATGGCGCCGATATTTCCTTATTATCAAGATCCTCATCTTCCTCATCAATACCCACACTAAATCCTACAATCACGTTCGGTTTTATGAATGACGAACTGCGCACATATTTCTCGTATGACACATCGTGGTACTCAGAAAAAATGTTATTCCCAAGAAAGTCATCAGTGCGTGACGGATCGAATTTATCTTTTAAGCCCGGCCCTATAATTACAATCTTTACTGATATCTCTACTGATGTCAGGGTCTCCATTAACACCAGAAAAACTTCCCACGTCCATACCAAGGCTATTTCGATGACATCTGCACCTATAACATGAACGACTAAATCGTTGCTTTTTGGGACATAGTTTAATAATCGCATAGCATGAAACAACGTTAAGGAATATGTCGAATGTAGCGCGAGTTTTTCTGCCTCGACAGTGTACAACACCTCCGAGTCAGTCTGAATATTCCAATTATCCTTTATAAAGTCTCTCATGCTCTGAAATCCACTCGTGCAGACAATATTTTTAAGGACAACATCCGGAAGTTCGTTCTCCGGAATCTCTCTTATCTTAATTAAATCTATGCCAAGACATAGTTGCAGGGGAGCGCAGATGTCCCAGTGGTCAGGGCTGTTTTTGTGAATTCGACAAAAGCTGGCAGCGCACTTCTGACAACTCTCCAACGACTTCCATTCGTGGCAAACTAGGCACTCTTTTGGAAAATAAATCATCTCCTTCTCATCCACATGCAGGCGACGTCCCAGCCTGTACGACACTAGCTCCGCAAAGGACATCTTCTTTTCGGCCCATTCCATCGTAGTTTCACCGCGATAATCCATCCTGTAGTCTCGCGGCATGTCCTGTATGGCTTTGCAGAAAGGTTTGTGCTGCTTCCAGTGCTGCTTCTGATGTTCCTTACCACAATAGGAGATCATCTTACAGTTACTGCACCGCTTCAAAGAGACACCGTCGCCAAACCGTTTGCAAACGTGACACATCGTCGCGTAGAAAAAGTTGGTATAGTCGTTATTAATTTGATTTCTTGCTTCCGATTCCATGACTTCTACACAGTCCCGTTATATTAAAGTCTCCTTCAGTGTAAAGGACAAATATAGTGTTTGGAATGTTGTGATTTCACCCGTAAGATATGAGCGTTAAGCGAAATATGACAAAATTGGTAGAATAATTATCATTCCAATGCGATGAATAGAAAGGATACTGTAACAAAAAAAAAGCCTGTAACAAAAAAACGTAGTCGTTAGATAAAATCTCGAGTGCTTTTCGAATCGTAAAATCTATAAATATATGCTCTTACCTGTAATATATGCTGTAACCTGACCTACGTTCCTAATCTGTGATAAACGGGCTTTTGTCGAAACCTATTTTATACAGAATCAGTTATTGAATTTTGTTAATCTTGCTCCATATGTATGAAATTATTGATAACGTTAATAATCTTTCGTTGGAATACACCCTCCGCGAAACGATACTTACTCTTCTCCCTGCTCACGAAAAGAACGGCGGGAATAGGCGGGAAACTGTTATCCTACCATATGTGCTACAGCCACTCGACCTCTGTCATTGTTTTGATCGTCAACTGTCGCAAGCATCCGTGAATCTGTCACGCCGTGAATCTGATCACGCGATTTTACGAAAGGGCCGAAAGGCTGCGTTCGGAAAGCGCGCTCAGCGCGCTATTAGCGCTATTGCATCATTGACTTGCGCGACCGGTATATCCCCTCCATCTGACAATGAGTAGTTCGGACACGAACACGAACCATAGCACGGATACGAACCCATGTATCATTACCGATACCGAGCGTAACGACGTAGTTGACCGAGTTGGGCGAGAGTTGATGACGTCCACTTTCTCAGAGGGCAGATTAGAGGTTTGTTCGCGTCGCATACTCCAATAAACACCAAGAGCACTTGGATCACGGATAAAAAGTGGCGATTGGAGCAGATGAGTTTTTGGAGTGCGTTGGAGTGATCAGGAGCATGGTGGGGCATGCGACGCGAACAAACTTTAGGAGTTAGGACAGGTGTCCCCGTCCCCCGAAGCGTGATGGCCGCTCTCAGGTTAGGTTTCTTTCTGGTTGAGATATGAAAATACGAAGCCGGTGACGGCGGTGACGAGCTCACGAGTGAACAGGAGAAAAGTTGTTTAAATACATGTATATACATCTGTCTTGTACTTTATAAAAATGGATAGCAGTGTAACTAACGATGCAACAATGGGACCTGAATTAATAAAAAGTTACCAGCAGATATTGCTTAACAATGTGTTTGCACAGGTACAAATATAAGTGGAGCTATACTTCTCAATTAGATCTTAGGTAGTGATTCCTTGTTTATATTTATTACATTCTAAAAATCGAATGCGCTACGTTACAGAAACTTGAGCAAAATGAAAAACACACCAAGACACTAACCGATTACAAGAATAGGCACAAAAAGGTAATAGAGGGACTTGAAGTATATCCGTTATCTGTCTCTGAGAATTGTATGGTGCCCATCGGCAAGCGGGCATTTATGAAAGGAAAATTAACTCATACTAACGAAGTCTTGGTATTTTTGGGAGATGGCTACTTTGCCAAATACAGCGCATCACAAGCGATCGCATTGTGCAACAGGAGAATAGCATGTATAAATATCATGTAAATCTTTGAAAATGATTTATATCAGATTCTACAACTTGTTACATGTTATTATGTTCAGGGGCGGATGAAATGCTGAAGAGTTTAGAAACTGAGAGGAACTTGTACGAAATGAGACAATATCTTCCATTGGGACATGATGTTTTTGGAAAAGAGGATGGAAAAGATATCGTGGAACATTGGACTGAGAATAAGCTTGATGAGTGGAGAGGTATATAAAAAATTTACATTTTTTTACTTATATTACGCTGGACACGAAAATTAAAATGTCTTTTTTTGCAGTACAACATAGAGAGCGTGAGAAAGAGTATCATCAGAAATTAGCAAAGTTGAAAGCAAAGGAAAAGACTGACATTCGTACCGAGAAAGATATTTTCAAGAGACTTGACGAATTAGAGATAGAAGAGGAATTAGAAGAGGAAATTTACAGGTTACAATTCAGTTGTGCAATTAAAAACTCACATTCGATGATTTACCGTTCTATCATTGCAGATTGGAAGCTGAACAAAAAGAATTTTATGGCGATGATTTGAAAGACGGCGAAGCTTATGATGAATCGGAAGAGGATACATCTGATTCCGATCAAATTACAACAGAAATAATTCAGGAGGAATTAGAGAAGCTGAAAAATATCCAAGCGAGCAGAATTACAAGTAGTACATCGAATATCACTTCTGATGCGGCTCAAGATAAAATTTTTGACACAAATACTACGAAGAATGAGGAATCTCATCCTACTGCAAATTTTATTCAAGACACATTAACGGAGAGTTGTTCGCCTGAAAAAGGAACTGAGGAAGTGTCTAAAGACACAAGTACAAAGGAAAGAAGGAGGATATCGTTCGCTGAACCATGTGTTATAGAAGACGAAGGCAATGCAGAAGAAGAAATATCAATACCTCAGGAAGCTTGTTCTGTTCTAAAGCAAGAAGATACATATGAAATCTCTGAAGATGAAGGTGACACCGTTAGGATCGAATTTTCACATTCATCCCATATTCCAGATTTGATTGAATCAAATGATACGGAGATACAAAGCCCGATAGATATTTATAAAATGTTTAGTACTCTTAAGTCTATTTTGAAAAGATCTCCAAATGATATGATTTATGATCGAGTTGCTCCTTTAAACGAGTATAGTAGTACAGATACAGAAGATGAGGACGAATACGTTAATTCTGCATATAGTTCTGTGAGTAAACATAATAATTTAATAATGTTGTTTTTACATAGATAATTGTACGTACACTAATAGACATATTTTGCAGGTAATCCAAGAGAAAGTTCAAGAAAGTAAAATATCGCCAGTGAATGACGTTTCGGTAAAGAAAGATGAAAAAAGAATTGTAAGTAGGTTCAAACTTGAACGAGCCGGAAGAAAGAAGTGACTTGTAAATATATGTTGAATACATATTGAAATTAAAATTTATTTTCGCAATACATACCCGAATAAATATAAATTTTCCAAGATCATACTTATCTATAATCCACTTCATTTCAGAAGTTTCTTTTATTATCGAATCTACAAAAATTGCGGTCTATCCTACGCGACAAGTCGATGCTTCGAGTATATCTTGGAGTAATGCGCGAGCTCATAAACTTCAATAATAATTAAGAAAAATGTAGAATAATATACATAATATTTACAATAAATTTATTTTTGCGATTTCCATACAATAAGTGATCCATTTAACTTTTCGATAGGATGGAGGCAGGACACGGTAATAAATGAAAATAGACATAATTACTGTCTAATATAACATTAATTCTATGTTGAAAACAATCCACTATCTCACACATCCTTAAGAATATTATATAGGTGCTTTCTCGACCAGCTTGAACCAGTGGCCGCATTCGCAACGGCGTGGAGGACCTTGATGCAGCCACATCCAGTTCACGTGTAATGAATCCTCGTCGCAGATGCATCCCATTATGCGACTTTCGAACGCGCTATAGACTATATTGGGATCTTCCTTTGTGCTGATTGCTCGCCGCTTTATGGTCATATTGTATGGATCCTAAAAAAAAACATTACCATGTTTGTAAAAAAAGTTAACACGTATTACAAGTCTTCGTTTGATTATTAACATTCGTCGCAGCAAAATTGAGAAATACTAAGGTAATAAAATATATACACAAGTCTATAAAAACATTATCACGAGAGAACTATGTTCTCATTATAATGTTGATTTCTTATCTTTGATACTCGAAGCCTTATCAGGAGCTTAATTTTTTCGAGAGTATCACATACAACATTTCATTCAGAAAATAGCATAATAATTATTATATCACTTATGTAACTATATTATATCACAAATAATAAATATATCATTGGTACACGTCAAAGACATGGGAATATGTCCACATAGGCGTGTTAGCCGATCTGAAAACGTCACAACTTACATCGTTACCGGCTAAACGGGCGAGCATCTCCCTCTTCTCCAAGCCTGTGGCATGATCGAGCGGATCGGCGACTGTCAAAGAAAAAGAAAGAACACGTGAATTGACTAGAATTTTATCTTCTCTCTATCGTGCGCAATACGTCCGCCGTGCGTGGACCGAGAGAGTCAAAATCGATGGGCGAACGAAAAACATTACGTAATGCGGATAAACGCGAAAATGTGAAAAATATGTGCGGGACGATTCGGCGGCGAATCGTCTCGGGAACGATATTTACATTCTTTCTTTTGGGCGCACGCGAGGCCATAGGAGATCCGCCGTCGACATGTTTGGAGCACGGTACGAGCGCATAACCATGCCATTTTTCAGAAAGCAGAAGATAGCGCACTACTAGCCGTCTCGGCCCGACTGGGTTAAGTCGTTCTCCCTTTATTCACGGATCGAACGATGCGCAGATTGCCGTCCCGCCGAACGAGCGACGTGCGCGGTGCGAGGCGCTACAGTATATGCAAGAACGAAGAACGCGGCTGACAGCTGACAAGTGAGAGTTTCTAGGTATTTTCGACTCTTTATGGATTGGCTCATCTTCTGTAATTGGTTGAATTAAATCAAACATATTCTCAAGTCTTCTCAAACAGAGGAGATCCAATTTTAAAATGATTTGTATGTAGAAACATATTTGATGGAGATGGAAGGTATTTAAAAAAGAATTTTTTTTATAAAAATATATTTGTATATATATAAAATTTTATTTCGTATAAAATATCTTTATTTTTATATATCAATTATCAATATCAATATGACTTTATCGTAGAAATTTTTTTACTTAATTTCTCTTTCATGTTATAAAAATTAAAATTCGCGCGAAAAATTTGTCCCTCAAAATTTCAGCACTTGAAGTGAAAAGTATACATATAATAGATGAAAAAAGTGAAAAGATGAGAAACATGTAAAAAAAAATAACAAGCCTAATATAATTCGATAAAATCGGATAAGTTTACGAATGAATTGAAATAAGTGCGCGAACTCAAATGACAAACTTCAGGGTGAAAACGACCCCGACTCCGTAACTGAATTGGAGTTTGAACGGTAAACTTCAGAGTGAAGATTACCTTGACTAAATTCCGATTAACTAAATTGCAGCTTAATCGGGGTCGTCCTCTCAGTTTGATTCAACCAGCAGGTTTCCAGGTGTCCAATAACAAGAAATTCATATTTCTACATTGGTAAAATACCACAAATACGGCTCGATAAGGTTAATCATTCGATTTCAGTTGATTAACTTAATCGGAATTTAGTCAAGAGAATCTTACGTCGATCGCAACGCCGCGCCGTGCAGCGGCAAAAGCGCCAAAGCCAATTCAGTAACTGTAGGTGGCGGCCGAGCGCCATCTAGGGTTGCCTCGCGCAACTAATCGTCATGGGTAGCGACTGTTGCGCGTCCCTAGCGGCCCCGAACCGAACCCTTCAAGTCGTGTATAAGTTTATAATCTATAAACACAGTCGCTACGGTCGCTACCCACCACGACGAATAGCTCCTCAATTTCGAGTAACTAAAAAAGAGTCTGAAATAGAGCTTGTTTGTCACATGTAGATGACAAAAATATATTCCAGTCTACCTATATTTCAAATTAAGATAGCTTCTCGCATACATGTGCATGCAGTGAATACTTTCGACAAGTCATATTACATTATAAATCCATATATTTTTGACTAATAAAATACATGTAATAAAAATCAACATCTCTTACATCCTTTGTAGTAAAAATATTAATTATAAGAGTACAATTCTTGTCGATTTAGTTTATTTTTTTTAAGAACGAATTGATGTTATAAAATGGTACAGAAACGATCAATAGTTGAACGTTTTTGCTAGGAAAATTTGATTCCAAATTCCAAGTCTCGGTATTATTAAAATTTGCACACTATTAAAATTACAGTCGAGCGCGCGTGAGTTGCGGGATTTTTTATACATTACGATGCGGACGCATAAATACAACCGCGGTATTAAATATTACAAATAATTTGATATAAAAAATATCCGCATAGAATATTTAAGGCATTTGTGATACTCCGGTATACGCAGTGTTATGTATCAGGCTGTGCGGGCGGTTCTCGACCTCTTGGCGAAGAAATCGAATATATGTCCAGCCTACGTCTATTAAAAAAAAAATCTCCTTTCCATTTTTCACATTGTACTATTAGCATTATACTGTTAGCAGTACAAACCACTGCCCTGATTCTCGCTAATGTACTTCGTTATGTATTGCGCCGATTTTTCAGTCAGTCCTAAGTTCGGTAACTCTCTCTCAAATTGATCGATGGTGCCTGCACCTGCGATGTAGCCGTTCAATTTCGCTGCCAGCGGAGAGGTGCACAAGATCTCCGTGGTAAGGCCCGATGTTTCGATCAGCCACGGATGATTCTGCAGTCGATACTTCTGGTGGTAACTGGACAGATACATAACTTTATTTAATTAAATTGGACGTGCATTATCTTACATTATCAATATTATCTTAATATTTTACTAGATAAGATAAGGCTTTTTTTAACTTGAGCTCAGAAAGCCAAGAAGTAGACTTGATTTACACATATACCTCAACACTCTTAATATTTTACTATTCTTTTAACTTTTCTATCGTGATTAATATTAATTTATTACTATTCGTCAAGCTGTTCAACAAACATGTACGTACAATTGAATTTATCAGTGTCTACTTGTACAGTGCAAATGTGATAAAAATATTTTAAAAGTGCCGTTACATATTAGAAATATTTAAAAACATGAAATTAGAATTATTATCGATTTAGTAAACTGTCTGTTATATAATTTGGCATTACAATCATATCATGTTACGTAATAATTATGTACATTTATATTTTGAGTTTTTTGTCAGCTGATACAAATGTTATATTAGACTGTTTCGAGTAGTAAGTACAAAGAATTAAATTCTGCTGAATAAGAGTCACACAAAAATGAACGCAAATAAAATGACAATGTGACTTACTCTTCGGCTGGATGAAACTTCGCAAACTTCTTAATTTCTGTGACGAAGACTTCCCCGCGCTTTCGTTGCTCCTGTTCACGAGATTTTTCAGCTAGCAACCTTTGCTCTTCGTCATGATATAAGATCAGTGACATGTACTGCAAATTAAATTAACATTTAACACTCAGTTGGCACACAAATGAATCATGTGAATCGTGTTAATTAGTTATTAGGTACATCCTGTACAGATCATACCTTCGATAACTCTCAAGTCACTCTATATTTTTTACTGAAAATGATATATGGTCAGACAGAATTAACATGCATCAACAACATACCTGTCTCTTAATCTTCCTCGTTAGACTATACTCGTGATTGCTCCAAAACAAGCTCAACAGATGGGTGTAAGACACTAGTTCTGGATCATATTCGATACTGACGACCTCCGTATGGTCCCCTCTACAAACAGGAGTAAAGAACGCGTCAGGAATGATCTCGCAAAGCAAGGTATGCGATTGCTGGGTGATGGCAAGACGGGAACATTTACATGTTTTTGTAAGCTGGAGATTCCTTGGTGCCACCGGCGTAGCCGACACAGGTTCTGATAACGCCAGGCAGCGCTCCGAAGAGAGAATCCCCCGCCCAGAAGCAGCCCATGCCGAAGGTGGCACGCTTGCCCTTGGTCTCCTCCAGTTGGCCCGGCATTCTGCTGAACGGGCAAACATTGTTACGTTTGACAATCGGACATGTGAAGTACGCGCCGCACTGGTACGACGAAATGGAGCAATTGTCCGCGAGAATGGCCCGAACCAGGCACGGTAGCATAACGGTAATCACGCGGCATGATCGCGACATCCTCGACGATTCGGTTTCCGCTCGACACACCGCCCACTTTCATGGACTTTCATGGACTCGCCGCCGCGTTCTGTGATACTTCCACGAGTTCCACGGTGGCATGCGTTAAACCGGTATCGCGGACGAGCGGTATCGGCCTGATTGTGGGACGGAGACGAGATCGGGCGAGAGGTGGTGGACGACGGTGGACGTGCGGGGCGAGTGGAGGCGAGTGGCGACTGTGGCGAGCGCGAAGGAGGGGGACGCGCACGTGCTGATTGTCTACGCTTGCCCGAGAGCGTCAGGGAGATAGCGCGTCATCGTGTGGGGTGCACGTGCGAAGAGGAAGGTCAGCGAAGGCCAATTCCGATCGACCAATTAATTGATTGATTCGCCCGGAGCCTGGAGTATCGAGAGCGAATGACGAGATTGACCAGCGTCTCGCCAACATGGATCGTCGTAAACACTCCGGAACTCGTGACCTGGATGTTTGATACACTTAGCCATGACGAATTTTTCTTCGATAATACCGCTCTAAATATTTATTTTTAAGGTGAGCGTTTGAACCCAGTCCTTGACATTAATTCTAATTCTAATCAGTCGTCAAGCATAAAATTCGCTTTAAAAATTCTTGATTCTTTTGATTGTAAAATCGTATTAGGAAGACCTTGTAATGAACTAAATTATTTTGTCTAATTTTCTCGCGTTGTTATACGACGTGACGCTCAAGCAAGAAATTAAAGGGCCACTATTTTCCAACGCTCCGGTAACTTCTAACTGACCGTAAACTTTTCAGAATAGCCAATAGGAGTTGGCTATTTCGATATAGTTAACGGTCGGTTAAAAGTTAATAGACGTTGGAAATAGTGGTCCTAAACCGATGTGAATTTAGAAAATAAATTTAGAATCAAGAGACACGGCAATGTCTCGCGCCAAGTACGAGCGAAGCGAGACCGCACGTGACTCTTACGCGACGCGATATGGAATATACGTAGAATGCGATGCTATTTTTCATTTAAGCTCTCATCTCATTGTAGACACATGCCAAGTAACATATAGTAACAGGTATTATTAGTTGTTTAATCTATGAGCGTATACTTAAGGATCTTCTTTTGGTTTTAGGTATTCTCCCGAGATTCTATCCAGTTGATAAAACGATCGAGATCACACCTAGGACGATCAAAGTATAAGATCGAGATATTGCCTCTAATAATGGACTTATTTGATTTTGAATTTTTCATGGAGCTTAATTGACGGAGTCCAGCACCAGAGAATTACTTCGAAATCACAAGATTCTCTAAAATTTTTTAAAATGACTCGGAATTTCTTGCCACAAAATTTCACACAAATCAAGAATATTCAGGAATAGAGCAGAATGTTATCCTTAGGATTTCGTTCTTTTTACCTTAAATGGCGAACGCACGTGGACGGTTTACTCGAGCGATGATCTATCGGACTGTTGCCTGATAGTCCTGATACACGACGAGATGCTTCTTTCTCAGAGGAATAGCCAATTCCTCGTGGAACTGAGTAGAACTGACTGTGGAGTGTGGCATCCTACGGACGGCATTCGGTTTTTATGGGCGTCGAGCATGTGTCTCTCCCCACCACATATCGTCTCCTTCTCATTCTCCCACTTCATAGACGTTAATACCGTGCGATTCGCTCGTCTCAATAGACCTGAATAAACTCGTGCTCCTCTTATTGTATGTCGGAACAAAGGAATGAAAAAAAGGAAATATTTTTAAATAACATCAAAAGCTTGTTAACCTCGGAATGACCATGACCAAGTTAATTACCATAATGTCCATTAACCATGGGCCGATATAAAAAAATATATATATATTACAACATGTTACGTTACATATACATATGTATAAAGAGTATCGAAAATTTAATAACTTTTTTAAGTATGATATTGTTTATCATTCTGGAGTTCGATTTATTTAACTTTATTAGTACGTTAAGAAGTATATTTCATAATTGTAAAATATAACTTTAAAAAGAAGACGGTACCTGTATTCTGATATTTACTATCAGCAACTGTCAGTACTGAAAATCTATAGTTTATGCGACGTATAGAAAAATATAGATTTTCAGAGTTGACAGCGAATATTGGAATATAGCCGGTATCTCGGAATGTTTATTAGTAATACAAAATATCTTCGTGTTACAGATAAGTTTTTATGTAAAAGAAGATAAGCAGCGTATTGCATGGATATCTAATATTACTTGAGGATATGTAGAAATAATAAGTAAAACATTCGAACTTCATTATAATATTCTGACAAAACTTTCGTTTAATTTATTATCATTGTAAGCTCCATAATTTTTTTTCATCAGCGAAATTTATTCTCTAATAACTAACATCTTATTTATGGAATCAAAATTTTATTGTGATAAAATAGTGAAATTCCTTTAATGGATCTATGACTACGGAAGTACGTCCTTCCTTGAAAAAAGAACTTTTAGCCTTGTATAGACTTGTCTGATGATGTAACATGTCATGTTTCAGGCGGACCGATTACCCATTGACGCCAATGACCCCGTAGCTATTGGATATCTTCGAGATCGAGGACGTTAGATTGTAATTTCTCACAGGTGTACTTGTACTTGGTCCTAAGAAATATTCCGTGTTCTCTTTTGATCTTTCGCACGTTATTATTTAACAAGATAAAATTATAAAATTGTACAAAATAATAGCAACAAGATAAAAGTGATTAATAAAAGTAACATAATAAAACAAATTAACTCAATATATAACAAACATATATTTTTAGATAATTTAAAAGTTTGAATATGTATCACGCGAGATTTGCTTTATTATCAAATTTAATCTGCTGAGTATTAAAAATAAAGTAAAACTGAATGCGCGCGATTTGCTTTATTATCAAATTTAATCTGCTGAGTATTAAGAAAAAAAGTAGAATTGAATGAACAATATCTTATTTAAAATATTTGGCTTGACGTTAAATATTTCTGATGATGTATGAAGTACGAATGCATGACGCCTTGACATACACCGTATATTTAATTGAGTGCGATTATTTGAAAATATATCATCGAGGATAAATTTGGATACGTAAGATTATTCGATATCAAATAGCGAAGATTTAGAGAAACAAAACATTTAGTACTTATATATGTTAAATATAAACAGTAATATAGGAAATTTTGATAAAACGCATCTTCAATTAAAAAACTTGCATCGTAATGAAAATGATTGGGCGATATCAAAAGATAACGAAATTATCTCGAAATACTTTGAGATTAGACTCGTCTTCCACCGAGCGGTCTGCTCTTGAGAGAGGTAAATTTACTACAACTGCGAAATACCGAGAAATAAATTTTAAGGTATGAAAGATACAAATAGTATCGAGTAACACTCGTGTATTTAACATCACGTTCTTATTTATTGTCAATTTATTGTGGCTCTAATGAGGCTCAATAAAGCGCGGAGGTTGCATCAGAAGAGACGGAGCGCGCGCGATGCACAGTTGATTAAATCAGTTCTCAATTGGAAGTCGACTGATGTAATCTTCCTCCTGTAGCCGCTAAGCCACATCTCGTAGATGTACATATCACCATGACTGTCATTATATGGCTATTATCAGTCACTATTCAGTTCCTGACCCGTTATGTATCTTGACACAAACACAAGTGGAAGCTGTACTGATAAGCGCGTTAAAAATGACCCACAGAAACATCGTGACTGAAATAGGTGAAATCCGCGCTTCAAAGAACGATTACATGCTATAAGGTAATAGTACATATAAATTTTCAACTCATGTTCATATCTCTGATATAAATATAAGCTGCTAAATAGAAAGATTTCAGTCAAATTTACGTATGATCGTGATAAATAAATATTAAATAACAAAACTCGCAAATTGTTCATCAACTCTCAGTTCATCAACCGAACAACTCGTTGCCTCTTGTTCGGATTTCTTCGCGATTCTTAAATCATATTGTAATGCACTGAGAAATGAGTCAATATTTATAAGATAACAATTTCTTATTGAAAGCGTTGGAGTTTGTATCGAGAGCGTATGAAAAGTTGATAAACTACCTTTTTGCGGGTTGCATAATATAAGATATATAAGATATATACAAGATATACGAAGATAACATATACAGTAATTTTATTTTTATATAATGTTACTATATTACAATACAATATAAACAGGTGGTAGACGTCACATAAATTCATTTCAAATACAGCCATTGAAATCAACTTTCGCCATAGACATTCGCAATCAAATCATGCGTCCACTATCGCACGTGTGCTACGTACTTTTAATTGGAATAATCGCGGCGATTATCATTAGTTTCACGATTAACGCAATTGCAAGACGCGGAACGAGTCACGCGACTGCTATCGTGAAGGCCGGAAGCCGCGTAAAGTTTGGCAACGTTTATTATGCATCGTGGAGGAATGTATGAGCGTTTATTTGTACTATTTACTTCCTTCGAAGATCCCTCTTTGTATTTTTAATTTGGATGCGATTTGACGTAAACGTGTACAAAAAATACGACCGTTCGGCAGGACAAATGATTATTTTACACACGGTCCTGTATATACGCGTGATCACGAATAAAGTTTGCTACCATTTTGATTCGCTGGTATTCTCCCTCGTTACACGGGGATGCGTAAAATTTACTCGAAAAAAGAAGTAAAGTTTACATATTTATATCTCGAATATCTCCGGCACGAATTGTCGAATTAAACTCGAATGTCACGCGTTTGTCAAAGGCGCAACACAGGTGCAAAATTGTAAATCAGCGATGTATATAGCGACTTGCTATATGCGGAACAAGGAATTCAAGTGAAAAGTCTTTAGTTGTAATAGATAGATAAATACTACATATCAAAATTTACAAATAATCTTTAAATCGATATAAAAAACAGTTTCCACTCAATCCTTACAGCTAGTCTCATAAAAAATATTGGAAGATGTCTGATAGTCTTATACCTGTTTGCGGGGATACTAGAAAAACTCGAATCTAGGTAGTACCTACGAATGTTGTAACACACATCTCTTGTCTTTCTAGTAGTCTATACATTTCCTTTAATATAACAATAAATAAAGTAAAAGTCTGTACAATACTTGAACGCTTTAGGCGCTGGATAGTTGTAAAACAAAAATGCAATTATATAATTTCTACAAATAAGTACATGCTCTGAGTAGTCATCGTAACAAGGTGTTGTTGATACCGAGCTTGTTCAAACGCTGCGATTCGCGTGAGAACCGCAGGAAAAACGTTTCGTCACATGATTTAAGTACATATATGCCGTTCGTGCGACATCAAAACCGATAACTGTTTTGATTTTAAAGCTGTCGATACGCGCCTCCGCGGTTATTATCTGTGATGTACATAATGTCGCTCTATATGTGCTAAGAAAATATATGTATATATGTATATATATATCTAATAAAAAAATATCACGACCCTCGGGCTCGGATTAAACGCGCGACTCGAAAAATTGCGGAAGTACAAGAACGCAGCGTTGAGTCTTGGAAAAAATACTGGAAGATATAATTGCGGGAATATATTCTCGTTTGTGTGCGCGAAAGATTCCGGTGAGCTCCGACGACATCGTAGATAACAGTGGGCAAGGACAAGGAAAACGAGATTGTGTTATTAGCGCGTTTACATGACGGTGCAGCAGCTCTTCTCCGAGTGATTATCGCTCACGATCTCACTGGTGTTCCCAGTGAAGCGCTGGGTGAAATCGTCGGTGCTGAGATCGGAATTGGAGATGGACGAGACCGGCATCGGGATGCCGTTCCCGTTCGCGTCTAAGGAGCCGCCGGATATGTGCCGATTCTGCGCCCGTTTCTTCTTCAGATCCGACAGGGATTTCACGAAAACAACGGACACGTGTATGTTGATCTTGCCGTTGGTGTCAGCGTCCGTAGAGTAAATCGGCGACTGCGGCTGGCTGCCGACCAGTGGGTCAGGCCCTGTCACTGCTGTTCAGGCAAACACGTAAATCCAATGTGCTACTTCCCCCCGTCAAGCGTGCCGACTTTTCGATCGACGCGATCGCCACTTTTCCGCCCCTCCACCTCAACCCCATTTTCTATCCCTATGCGCACTGATCACAATTTAAAAAAAAAAAAAGAGAAAAAACCAAGGATGTCAACTATGAGTCTCATGCGCCAAGCCTGACATGCTTTCAGCAACAAGCGTTTCGAAAACATTGCACCAATAAGGACCATCATATGCACATCGGTGTGTACGTACACTGTATTGTTACTAAATGGTTCAACGGTTGCGTTTTACGCAAGCAAAATCAATGGATACACAAGAGAGAAAGAGAGATAGAGATAGAAAGATAGAAAGATACAGAAAGAATATGATAATTACGGCTGTTACGTTACAAAGAACAAGAGCGTTGTTTATATAATGACTATGGATATATCTATACGTCTTCACATTTTGCTACAATGGAATTTTTTCAACGTTTGGATCTACGAACGATCGATCTACCTGTATTTGCGCGTTATCATTATCGATCGTAATCTAAGTACTATCGAATGAAATACGGTGTGATAATTTTATCTAGAACACGGTTGTCGTCTAGAAAACGCAAGCATAAAGATCCGTTGGTAATTCGCCCATCAATGGCTCGTCCTCACTATATCTGATATGTCTTTCTTTTTACTTCTCGAATTGACTACTTCAATAACAGAGGAGTGCGACCCCTTATTACTTCACCACATAATACAATGAGTACAAAGCATTCGCCGATTAGAGAATTCGCTATCAATCTTTAATACAAAGTGTATAGAACTTGACAACAGGTATACATAAAAATTTGTAGAGCTGCGATCAACCTTAGGTCATGCTTTAGGCTCAAAACCCGCCCGTTATACTACGGACGTATTATATTTATCCAGTAAAATATTTACCAAATAGTCATCTAAGTATATAGGGCGATTCTTAATTTTACATATTAAGATCTTTTTCTTGTTTTGAACTCTCGATCCACTTCCTGTGATATAATTAAGAATCGTCCTGTATGCTTTTATTCTAGAGGAAACTTGCGCATAGTACAATATGTATAAAGAATGTAGAATAATATATCTGTCGATTCTACTTATTGTACATCTTACTAGCATGATATATATATGGTTCTCTAAATCGATTAGGCTCCAGTTTATGTAAGAAATTACAGAAACAATTCGACATATCTATAATAAATACCACATTCGTTTGATTATTATTCTATTTTGCGCTCAGTGGCCGCTAAGCTTAGCTAAAACGGTCCACAAAGATACGCTAAGGAAGCCAGTACCACTTTTAGGCCTTGCCAAAGAGATTCGATATGAATATAAAGCGAAATGTGTACGTGTATATGTGTGCGTTTTAACGTGAGAACACTTCCAGAGAGAAAAATGCATTGTGTTATGCGCAGCACATGTAGATATACGTTTTACGTACACCATGAGCAAATAACTTCTGGCGCAGTGTGATATGTATGATACGAAAAAGATAACGCAATTAAATGCATCGTACAGATCGTGAAATGTAATAATTAAAGAAATAGAAAAGTGACGTAGAAAACTAACCTCGCAATTATTCAGGAGCACGCAGTAGTGAAAAAAAAGAAAAAGCTGGTAAATAATCGACAGCTAACACAATGAGTTTGACAGAGTACATTTATGGGATTTTGCAATTAGCAGATTAGTATGTATATAATATACATATATATATTTCGGATTGTTTGATCCTTTAGGATTATTCAATATTGTTCTCTAATAGTGTGTATATAAAATTTTGTTTATTAATATATAAAAATATAAATATGCGCTTTTGTCAAACTTAACAAGAAATTGTCCGCACTCTCAGTATGATTAATCATTCTATAATAATCGTTATTTTCTCTTCTTTCGCCACAATTTTCTATAATTTTTAATGTGTATATGACTTATATACATTTATAAAACTTCATATACAATCTTCAAAAATTTTATGCTCGCGTTAACTTTCCTACGTTTTGGGCATTATGAATCACAAATGAGCATGATATACACGTATATACGTACATGTATACATGTGCAATTCTTGAATCACATGATCGAGGTACATATTTTTGGAAGTCTCTTCGCACAAAGCTACCATTTACCACAATAGTCTACTAAACCACAACCAATGCAAGCAAGAATACATTTGGAATGTACCTGAATCTTTATCAACATCTTCGTGAAGAAAAGACTCGTTGTCTTTTCCTTCGGGACCTTTCCGCACCGCTGAAGTCAGGGCGCCGGAATCAGTCTCGTGGTCCCCTACCTCCTGCGTATTGTTCTCCAATGGCGGAATACTAGGCGTAGGAGCGCTAACATACGTCTGAAAAAGAAATATCCCACATAGTATTTATATCTCGAAGAAAGAGCAAGGGAAATATATAAGATATTTTTAATCTCCCCTTATTTTTTTTATCATACCTGTTGCGCTTGTAACCTTAAGCGAGTTTCTTCCTGGGCGTCTTTTTTCGTAGTAAGAACTTTGTCTCGAATGGATGTTCGACGTACGCTTTGTGTTCGCGTATTTATGCTTTGCGATCTGCGTACCCTACGCCCTTGCGCTTCACGAAGTCGTTTACTCTCCTGTTCTGTTTTCAATTCCACTATCCTCTCCCTAATTTCCGGATCTTCGCATATATCTGCAACATATTAAAATATTAAAATATAGGGTAACAAGGCAATAATCGAAATAGATCGGCAAGTCTTACCCGCGGGAGTTTCATCGTGTTTATTTCTGGCATTTAGGTCGGCTCCGTTTTGCACCAATAATTCAAGTACTTCCAACTGTAATACAAAGATGTGTATAAGACTTAAAATAACATTTAAAATATTAAAAAATTGTTGCTATTAATTGCTATCTAAAAGAGGTGGAAAAACAGATTTACTTTCAGTTTTAATAAACATTATAACAATTCTATAATTTGTAATTGTGTATACCCACGTATATAAAAAAAAGATTTAAACTTACGTGTCCCCAACATGCAGCTGCATGAACTGGTTGCCATTTGTCATTGTCCTCTACATCCGTTGATACATGTTGGTCAAGAAGAAATTCCACGACTCGTAAGTACCCATTTGCCGCTGCTATATGAAGCTATAATGAAAATTGTAACGAAAATATATAATTTTTTCTTTTTCTCAAATTAACAGATTTTAACAAGGGTGTATACGTACAGGCGTAGCACCTTGATGATCTTTATATTCAAGGTCACCTCCTAAAGAAGCAATCTTTTGCAAATCACGTAACATTTGAACCTCGGTTGAAGCTCTTGTTTCATCTATTAATTCTTGAGTAACTCCTCGTCTTGCCATCTCTCCTGTGTTATAAAAATGTAATTTTTAACGTAAATACGTGACATTACTAGTCGCACTGTATGTCTAAAAGTGGCAATCTTTAAATGTTGACAAAAAATTCTATTACCTTCGATACAATCCAACGTTTTTTCATCTTCGCAAATGTCGTACGGCATGTTGCCATCAGCATTAACGGCTAATAAATTCGCACCTCTGGCAATAAGGTATTTGACTAAATGCAAGTGACCACACGTGGCAGCAGCGTGTAACGGTGTCCATTTCTCACTGTCTTCCGCATTCACGTTAGCACCAAATTCAATGAGTAGCTTCATCATCTCTTCATTGTCATCTATGCAACACTGATGCAACGCCGTCAAACCGTCTTCGTTCGTCGAGTCAGGATTTACACCCTTTTTCAAAAGCCTTCTTACTGGAAAGAGAATAAATGTTGGTGACGTAACGCGCCGACATACATATTTGTTTCAAATAATATACGTACAAAATTTCTTACCTTCATCGATGTCATTTCTCGCAGCGGCTTCCAACAACATAACACTGTCGCTAAAGTATATGTGACGCTTATTACTCGTATGCCTAGTTTGGTGCCGCAGCCATTCCTTCTCGCGTTGCCTCCACACTTTTAATTGTTGAAGTCTACGATGACGCGCCAGGTGTAACCGCTCTTGCGTGGTCAGTCTTTCAACGTGTACCATCTCTGCCACTAACTCTGAGTGTTCCATTGTTACGTGCTTATAGTTTTTGCAAGTATATTTACCTGTTAACAAAAAAGAGGGAAGAAAACATCACGACATGTAGATATAATTTAAACAGACACATACACGCACACATACACACACACACACATACATAACGCATTTTTGTGCAACTGTATCAAGAAAACAAAGTAACTCGTTCCAGAATAAACGTGTCGTAAACGCTCGTGGGTCACGTTCGATTTTGTTAATAATACCACACATTTATCTTGTTTTCACTAAATGTATTTCAGAAGACAATCACAAAACCGAAGAAATTGAAAAAAATTAAAAAAAAAAAAAAGTAAATTCAGGCGGCTTTACCTTTACGCTTACAAAGCCAAGATCTCATTCTCAGATAATTAAAAATTGTTTGATAAATACCAGATGTCATTCTGGCGTAAGTAATCGGGATTTTCACTTATTTCAATAACGCACACGCAACTTAACTGATCTCTCCTGCGTTATACCTGGCGGGAATGATAGCATATTTTAACCAGATGTTCTCTCAAACTTATCAAGTACTTAGACAAGTAAACATACAATATTTGCACAAATGTTCGTACCCGCTGACAAAAAAAGGGCTTTTTTGTGAACGATGATTCAACACGTTCCAACGGATGTTCTTTCAAAATTGTGTGTTTCTAAAAATACTACACAAAAACAAAGATTAGTGCAGCTATCTTGAGAATTTTTAGAGATTTATCTCGCGGATAAAACCACAATGTAATCAATGAATATATATTTATATATTTTTAATTAGATATGACGATAATGAATGATGATAATGAAAATCTTTGTTAGGCATGTAGAGTATATAGACTATACGTGGCTGTGTAACACATCCGCAATAAATTCTATCCTTAATCTCAGGTAATACCTACGTTACGTCATTGGATCAAGAATGTACATATTTAAACATTCCACAATCTCGGTACACGAAGCAAGCTTTACATTTACAGAGAGAATTTAAAAAACGGGAGCCGAGCACACAGGTCTCGATAAACACGCCTTTTTCCTCCTTAAAAGAAAGTATAAATCCGCTAACGAAATAACGGGAAGAAATTGATTTTTTTTTTTAGAAAACAGTTAAAACAGGAGCACTACAGTTTGCAATGCGAACTCCGATTCGAATCGGTCGCACGATTTCTCGACAACCTGGTGACACGAGAGCTGCGCCTGAGAGACGCATAGGTCGCATAGGAGATACTTGCTGATCGTTCATCGAGCCTGACGTCCGGTTGCACGTTACTCGGCGCACAATCACCGTGGAAAGGTGCACGGCAGAGTAATATTCCGTCTCGCGGGGATTCATCGCACCCTCCTCCTCCTCCGTGCGGGGCGATCGGAGACGCGGCGCGTGATCCAGCGGGGAAACACGTCGTCGAGAGTCGAAATGGAGTTTACTTCCTGCCAATTACATCGCTTTTCGGAGGGTAACCGAAGCCGTCGGCCGTCGGCCGTTGCGCGATCAAGGCCAGGACGCGAGGCGCGTATCGCGCAGGATCTCACGGGAACCGGGAACGTGAGAAAGCCGCGGGGGAGGGGGTGGGATACTCTCGCACACAGGGACGGATCAGCGCGATTGAGCGATGCGCCGAAAATCGGGGGAAAAATCCTCTCTCTCTTTTTTATCTTGTTTTTACTTACGTATGCAAACGCATGCAAACGCGCGGCTCGACACGCGGCCGCGGCTGCGGAGGTGACGATGGCGGTGGTGGTCCCGCTTTCCTTCTCCCCCTATTTCCTTCGCGATCGCGCGAGCGGAATGCAACGAGGGACGAGAGGCGCTCGAACGCACGGGCGGCGGGGCCGGGACCGGGGCGATTCATTCACGTCGCGCTTCGCGCCTGTCGCGGCGATAACCTACGACGATTACGGCATAATCCGCGAGTGAGCGAACGAGCGAGCGCGATCCCGCCGGATCCCTCGGCCTCGGCGCGCTGCGGCCTGCGGCGTGCGCGCGCGCGCGCGTCCCGCAAGACAGATACTGGTCTGGCCGGTGGCGTGAAATACGCTCGCGCGCGTTCCCGTGCCTGCCAGCGCGTGCAGCCGCGGAAACACGTCTACCTGTCAGTCGCCATTTTTAAACTACCTGCGAGACTTGCGACTTGCAAGAGTCCGAGAAATCGCGCCCGCGCCTGCGCACGCCTCGCCTCACCTCGTCCGTCCTCGGCTAGTCTCGCCTGGCCTCGCCGGCGCGCCGCCGCGCCGTCCCACCGCCCCCACCCTTCGAGCGACGGACTCCGAACTCCGGAGTCCGGAGTCCGGAGTATCCGCGGACTCGCCGAGTCGCCGCTCGCCGCACTCGCCGCTCGAATCGCGAAACGAACGGGATAGAGGCGCGCGCACGCGAGCCGACGATCGGCTCGATACTTCCGCCTCGCCCGCGCCCGCGGAATAACGTAAATTGCGTAAAGCCCCTTGCACAATAGGCGATATAGCGAAAGCGATAGCGACAGCGACAAAGTTGCCGACAAAGGTATAGCTTTGTCGGCAACCTTGTCGTTGTCGCTATCGCTATCGCTATCGCCTATTGTGCAAGGGGCTTTAACTGTTTTGCGTTATGGCGTTATGCGCCAGCCGGTCGATAAGCGAGGCCGGGGACTCCGGGGAGTTTCCTCGTCACTCGTCGCTCCTGCGTCCCGCGTCCCGCCACGCCGGTTCCGCGCGTCGTTCCGGTCGTTCGGAATTCTCACATTCTCATTTCTCGGTCTCGGTCCGGACGAGCTGATCGACGAAGCGTGAATCGACTGCCGCTCCGCTGGGTCATGTTCCAAAACTCACTCTAGGTAACTAAAATCTATAGTTTACGTCACGTACACTATAGCATTTTAGTTAACTATAGTGAGTTTTGGAACATGACCCTGGATCTTGAATTGGCTTACAATCAAATCCTTAGGCCACGCTCTTCAAGTCGTTTGTCACTCGATATGGTATACACGTTTGTCATACGATAATTAAACGTATATGACAAACGCTTTTTAATTACGTGGTATTATCACTGTCACGTGCGTATGACTTATCAGCGTTGCGAGAAACATATTGTCATCATAGAGTGCGATAACGTTCAACTTTTCTTTCCTCGCAAATGCGCTCCTACAAAACATATGTCAAAGAATTCAAATTAAACGTTCCATTCGTATCCTTTATCGCGATATTAACGTTAAGATTGTTTAAAGATTGTTTTCAAGATTCCAATTCAATATCGTCGAGGCGGAATAAGAACGGCACGTACGCGTTAGCCGCGTGATCGTTTCCTGATTAAAGTTCCGGGATGACGAGATTTATACATCCTCGAGATCGAAATCTCCCCTTCCGTTCGTTCCGTTTCCATAAATCACGATCGATTCGTGCGCGTCCGCGTCGTCATCGATACGCGAAGGCGCGTGCTCCTCGCAAGAGAAACGTATGCAAAAATTCTGCTCTTACAGAAACGTTGCAAGTTGATTGGTTAAAAGCTATGCGACAGCCAATCGACTTGCAACTTTTCTGTAAGAACAACATTTGCGCATACGCTTCTCTTGCGAATGATTTCAAGAATCAAGCCCCTTCTTGCCAGATGACTCATCCGCCGTCACACGCGGCTGTGCCGCCATAGTCAATAGTGCGATCGCGCTCGATATCGGCCTCCGCGTCGCATATCGAAGTATACCATACGTGTATGTATACCATATATTGCGGAGCGACGAGCGACGAGGAAACTCCCCGGAGTCTCTCGATTTCGGATCCGGGAGATAACAGCGAATCTTATCGCTCGTGGTAAGACGCCGGTTCTCCGCGCGTCCTCCACTCTCGGCTTTCGGTAGCCTCGCCGGTATCGTGTCGGCGAGCGATCTTTTGAAGCGTCTCCCGCCGATCTCGACGTCGACATTTTTTTTAGGGGGAGGGGGGAAGAGGGGTTTCCTCCTCTTTGGTTAGGAGCATAGGCGCCTTCAACCCTGCCTTTGGGTTACATAGCGCAATCGACATCGACGACGTCGCCGACACCCGGACTCTCAGAGTCCGGACGTCCCCACGTCGTGCATTGTCTTAATTGTCTACCGATATGGAAGGACGCGGCTCACGCGGCGGTGGGGCGTATCTCGCGGTCTTCTCTGGAATTTTTGCGACCGCCGGTAGTCTTCTGGGCAAGCTTGCCGGTGGCGCTGACGCGTCGTCGTTGGTGAGTTGACGAGGCCGATTCAAATCGCCGGTAAAAACATGAAATAAACCGCGGATTTTTTTATTTCTAAATTTAATTTCTAGAAGAAACAGAATTTAATTGATTTAGGAATTTCGGATATTTATAATATTCACAACGACGTCCTTATGGCAATGTAAATTGACACGCGGAAATGTGTTTCTGTAAAATTGTCTTGTTTTGTATTAACAATATTTGTATGTTATTATATGATGCATTCTGAAGCAGACAAATAACTGATAAATACGCAAGAGAGATTGATGATTGAAAATTGAAAAATTGAAACTAGATTAAAAACATTAGAAATTTAAAACTGTATAGTATAATAAATATAACGTACGCTATAACAATATAGAGCATTATAATGTTTACATGCTTTTTTTGTAGACATCGTTGCTTCTAAAAGGAGTACTTCTCGTCTCTATGATCGTGAGCAACACCATAGGATGCACGTTTTTTGTCAAAGCGCTTCATGGCAGCGGTTCTTCTTTGCCGATAACCGTCGCCAGTGCGGCTACGAACTATGTTTGTTCGGTGAGTTGTTAAATCTTATAATTAATATCTCGTAAATATTTTCATTAGATAACACGGGTTAAGGGGTAACGCCATTCTAGAGTCCCAAAAAAAAAGCCAATTTTTGATAATTTTTTTCATAAATACAATAATCATAAATGAAAATCGGTTTAATTCTATTTATTATCTATATATTAAAGTATAAAAAAAATTTTTATTAATTATTTATTGCCAAAATGGCGGCACCAGAGCCATTGCTCCAAAGTGCCTTTTTGTGGAAGGCGTCCAACGGGCGGAATCGAAGCTCCTATAATTTCTGAGCTGGAACAAAAATTCAAAGATTTTTGAAAAATATATAAGTTTTTCTATAGAAGTACGTAGGGGAATTGCGAAATATCATTTTTTGTAAGAATGGTGCATGTTGGAAAAAAAGTGCTTCATTTTTCGCTAAAAAATGTCGCACAAAATTGTTTATAAAAAAAGTTTTGTTCAACTTATCGCAAAATCCCTAGGTACTTCTAAAGATAATGTTATTGTAAAGTTTCACTCAAAATTTCAAGTCAATCGGATAAAAGGTGTTCGAGTTCTGATTCCGCCCGACTTTAAAAAAGCGATTTCGAGAAAAACGTGTTTAAAGTTTCAGTTTCACCATTCACAGATGTGAACGCGGCGGCAGACGACGGATTGCGAAAAAGGGATAATAGAGATTTTTCCGAGCTTTGAAACCAAGTGTACCTTATTTCTAAGACCTTAAAGCATCGTTTAACACACAAAAAAAATCGTTTTTTTGAAAATTCTAGAGTGGCTTTACCCCTTGATATGAACTTTTCTCTCGCGATTGTATATATAATCCCAGCGTTAGATTCTTCAACAGACTTGAACTTAATTGACTTAGCAAAAATCCCAAAATACCAATAACTGTATTGAAATAATCGAAAAAAGAAGCTTTTCGGGAAGATGTCCAAATAATTAATACATTGTTCTTCGATTAAAGTTTCAAGAGAAGTCTACTTCAAAAGAATCTTGATTCTCAATTATGCAAATTAGAAAGTTATATGATATCCATGATGACTTTTTCGCCAAAGAGAGAAACGTTGACTTCGAATTTAAAAATTTGCTATTGAAAGATGAAAAGACTATAGTATATAAATTTTTATCCAGGAAATTCTATAAATAAATATAATAATATTTTTCAATTAAATTTCTACGTTAAATTTTAAGATAATTCTACGTCATCAGTATTTTAATTCATGATTTATAAAGGCACGTAAAATTGAAAATTAGAAAGTTACGATATAAATGATGGCTTTTTCCCAAGAAAAAAAGTCGCCTTCAAATTGGAGAATCTATCAGTGAAATTACGATCGCGACAGGACGACCGACCATCCATCGTGCTAATAGCAGAAGGAAATTAGATCGTCGTGAAACATCCGGCTGACAATGAGTGTTTCTTTTTGAGAAAGTTTTAACAATGATAATGAAATGAAATGGCGAAGGGAAATAATCCTGCAGAAGGGCATTTGTCAGCGGCAATTATTCGTCTATAGTCGCGGCGCGCGGTCCGATATACTTCCGAGAGTTGGTTCGCAAAGAGTGAAAGTTGTTTCGCAAACTAGACGCAATTCCGCGAGTGTACACAATGCGGTCATAGCAATTATATGCGCGCAGGTACGTGGCGATTGAACGAGAACTGTACGATATGATACCCACGCTATTGAAACGCAATCCCGATAGCGTTACATTATACGCTGGGAAATGCATTGCGCCGGAATTATTATTAGAATAACAGAAATAATTACGTTCGCCGTCCCGCAAATGGATTCTATTTTGTCTCTCCTTTCATTCCTTCTCCTATATGAAAAATATTCATCCCGTAACGTGAAATATTAATAAAGCTCTGTCTCATTAAATAGAAATAATCAGAAACGTACGAATATCTTTTTACACGTTACGACAGAATTTTTCTATAATCTTCCGTGAAAATCAATTTAATCCATTCGCGCGATAGCTACTAAAACGACACTGTATATCGATTACGTCGGCGTGAAATTAAACATTTACGAGATTAAGTTTGGGTTTGCGAGGATATAGGTGCTTTAAATTTAAGAACGTCACCGATTGGTAATCTTCGAGAAATAAAGATGCAATTTTATATTTTATATTCGTATCTATAATATGGTTTGTTCTATATGTATATTACCATATGTCAAGCACGTGGCTTGTCGATCACATTGATCTCTGATATTTTACCATTCTTTCATAATTTTAAGATACGAAAATAATACAAGACTTTATTTCCGCAGATATATCTAATTTGATGCAATAATATAGCAATAACAAAAGAAAGAATTTGGCCAAAAGATCTAATGAGAAACAGATAAATATTTTTTATGACATTTTATTATGTTTTAATTTGTACAAAAAGAGATGAAATTAAAATGTATTAGTTTCGATAGTACATATTATGTTTAATTATCGAGAAACACACGGCTTGATATATCAAAAGTTTCGATTATATTACTATAAAACAGCAATTTTATAAATATCTCTTGTCGTTGTTGAAGGCTTTCGTAGGATCCGTCGTGTTTGACGAATCCACTTCATTGACCTGGTGGTGCGGAACTTCCCTGGTACTGCTCGGCTTGATGTTGATCTGCAATGTTCCCACTGAAAAGAAGGCTTCCGCCGCCGAGGAAAAATTGAAACATCAATAGCTAACGACGGGCGCTTTTATATTACAAGCAAGAATGATTATGGTGATGTTACAACGGTACGATTCCATTTTTGTATTGACAGATATTTATGTCCTTACGTCAGAAACGTATTGTGTTATCTGTAATAAGAATGAATTTTGATATACAAATAAAAGAGTATAGGATAGTATGGATAGTATAGTCTTAAGTGTTATAAATTACGTATAAAGCACAATTATATATTCTTTGTTATAAATAAAGTATTTTATGTTTTCTCTATAATAATGTTCTACGTAAATGATGGATATAATTTTGAAACGCGTTGATTGTCCGAACACGAAATGACGTATAACATGCACATATATACGATACCGTATTATAGATTGCTCACTGAACGCAGCAGTGTGAAATTTATTAATGCAGAAGGATAAAAATAACCTATTAGGTCTAAAGAGAAATGTTTCGCTTTAAGATTATTTCGTTCAAAAAGATTGATCAGTCTTGAAGAATCTCGACCGAGTTGCATGGAAAATCTTGAGAGTAAAAAGCAAAAGTAATGAATTGTTTTGTACAGTAGTATAAGAAACATGTAGTGTATTTTATGAGGTTTCTTAAAGTATCGCTTTTCGCGCGATTAATCCATATTTTTATCTTTCTGTAGATAGATTTTATGCCGGGTTTTAAAGTGGTTTTCTAAAAATTCAGGTCTCTCGGGGCCTCGAGTGGTGCCTGTTTTAGCACAGCGAAGTGGATTTTCATGTCTATAGTAGCGTTGGATATAAGCGGAATGACGATGACGAAGTGGATATCTCTCCCGTTTCTCCCTTAAAATACGCTAGCACGATGTCATCTTCCTCCCTTCCTGCCGTCAAGTGGGTAACGCGGTGGATTTAATATTGACGCATTAACGAGGCGAAATTAGCGCGATGAGCAAATTATACATCGTTATTATTACGTTACGCCCGTGGTGACGATCTTGGCGTCGATGTAACGCGTAATGAAGTCGGATGTATTTATGTCCCGGGACGTAAATATATCTACCATGCAAATGAATATGTGGCGTCTGATAGCGGACGTCGAACGAATCGATTCCGGTTGACGTTAATTCGCCTGCAGGTATCGAGATAGTTTGATATCAGAATGATATCAAACACGCACGTCAATTTCGATGCGAAATTGAGAGTCGTTGACTTTTTCATGTGCAACTCGACCCCGCGCTGTCGCGATTTTCAACACTCTCTTCGATATAACGAGTTAACGAGTTAATATCGTGTTTATCAATTAGCAAACGTAGGATAAATAATATGTAATGAAAACCAAATATTTCGTATATAAGAGAATATATTATAGAAGGAGAAATAATTATTGTAATTGTAATTACATTGTAAATATGGAGAAATTTTATATAGAAGAAGAAATTATTATATATTTTTATTTACTTTATATGATAGGAAACTTGCGAGAAACATTTCTCGCTTCGCTCGCTTTTGATGTCACCCCTTCGATCTTTCGAGATGTATCGCGGTAGCGGAGAGAGCGTGCCTCGGTAACACGTCTCGGCGGGATGCAAGAGCCCATTCAGGATCACGTCGTACCCTACACACACCGGCATTCGGCTACGACGCAAGCGTAGCCCAGTAGCCCGTGTGCGAGTCCTACTACACTAGATATCTCGTTTGTAGGGCAGGGTCGCGGGGCGAGGGGGAAAAAAGGGGGGGTTAGGGGGGGTGAGAACGGCCTTTATCGAGCGGCTTCTGCGCGAGCTCGCCTCGACGTTCTCGACGTTTTCACCCTCAGGGGCGGATTACCCCCTCCGACACGTCGCCGGGAACATCGCGGAACGTGTGATTGCTGTCTCTTGGCTCGGAAGACATCGCGAGGAGTTTTAATCCTCATTCAAGTCAGACGAGGAATTTGCTGATCTAACAGCAAAGGAACTCTAATTTAAAACTCGCGGAGATTCTCTTCCATTTCTTAATTGTAGATTTTTTATTCACAATATTATTATTTATCTAGAGACTAGTAAGATTGAGTACAGATTATAATCTTTTTAAATTCCAGAAAATCTGCATATACGCCCCTACGTCGTCAGAGTCTCGCGGAGACAGGGGTTTCTTCATCTCGAGCCAGGATCCGAACCGTCTGAATTCGGTCCTGCCGATCCCCACCGCGTGTCGCGCCTTCTACCCCTTCCCATCTCGTGGCGACAAATCTGTTACGAGATTTCCACCTTCATCCTCGCCCACCTCATGGCAATGAATTTGAACGGGACGCAGATTCCCGCGAACGGGGTGAGAACGACGACGTTGGGCATTCGCGGCGTCTGCGTCGGCTCCTAAAGAGAAAGGGAGAGAAAGAGTATGATTCTCCCTCTGTCTTTCGCCGCGGATCCAGACGCTATCTTCGGTTCCGGGCCCAGCGCGGCGGGCGAGATTATAGTTCCTCGAGAAGGACGGCCGGAATGTCCCTCCCGACGGTGTCTCGCCACCGACACGTCGGGCTGATCTAGCCTGTCGGGCTAAACGTCATCCACCGCGACAATCGATCGCAATAGTGCTTCAAGAGCTCAAGGTGTGCGTTCTCCGAGTGTGCGAGTCTGCGACCGTTCTCGCGACGTGTGGATCGTCGTTCTTCGTCGTCTGTCATCCGTCTGGTCCCGACGGCGCTCCCAGGAGGTGTCTCAGGTGTCTCAGGTGCGGGATCCTGCCACAGGACGAGCCGTGCCATGTCAAAACTGGCGAAACGCGCATTCGAGACAGGCTGTTCGCGCGCGTTGATAGGATCTACCCCACTATCCTGCACGTTGCTCTAGCCGCTGTTCCACTACCCTCCCCTGCTTCTCCTCGTCGTCGCAGTCCAGTTTCCCCCACTTTACGCGCACCCCGCCTTTTTTCTCTCTCTTTCTCTCTTTTTCTCTCTTTCTCCTTCTCTCTACTCTTTTCTCACCCCTCGCTTATTACCACCGGGAAAACCCCTGCGTTTGCTCCTCGCGCGCTGCACCTCGCCGAGAGCGGGGTAGTTTTCGTACGAAGCGCCCTTCCGTCGAGTCGCTGAAAGAGAAAGAAAGAGAGCGAGAGGGAAAGAAAGGGGGAGAGGGATAGGAAAGAGAAGGAGATAGGAACGCACACGAATTGCAATGCAATCCGCTGCAACGGTGTGTGACAGACGAGGCTGGAAGTGTAACCGAACGATGGAATTAAAGAGGCGTGATCCGTCGCGATCGGCCGCCTTGGGAATTTCTCCTCGCGGAAGCGGTTGAGCGAAGTGCAAACGGTTTCTCGTCCGTTCCGGCTGGTCTCGGAGAAAGAGAATGAGATAGATAGATAGAGAGATAGAGAGCGAGAGAAAGAGATAGCGTCCCGCGAGTGCAACGAGCTAATCCGCGATAACGGAGAGCAATCTCTCCCAAAGGGATTTTCCCTGACGTCCTTCTTGCGCTATCAGTGTGGAACGTGAATTGTGCAGGTGCGTCTCGAATCGAATCGCTCTTTTTATCTTTTATCTTTTCGGACTTTCGTTTGATCTTGAACGTGTCGAGTCAGACGCATTTCTTAACGAAGCGTTCATTTATCGCGAGTGATGAGATTATTTGTTAATCTTCATAGCTATCTGTTATTTCGTACGTAAATAAATGTTCTAATATCTTCGTTCGTTTAAGCATTCATCTCGTCCTTCTGTATTGAGAGAAATATCAGTTGGGTGCAAATTTGCCGCATCATTTATAATACGTACAGCTTTTAGCTTAATTACAGCTAAATCGCGATATGCATGCGAGGTAATCAAAGCGAGATGAGAGATTGAGATCAAAGGGAATCCAATGGTCGATCTAGATAATAATTCACGAAAGGATTTTATGACGTGCGTCTTTGGCACCCTCGATTTTAACGAATTAATTCTATGCGATTGATCTGCATGAGAGAAAAAATTTACCGCACAAACGTTTCGAGTGACAGCATCCGATTCGTCGGGTACGATTGGTTTTCACTGGATTTGCCGGCCGCACATATATATCGGCTCATAGTTTTATTTTAAGAGTAGGTCAACATCGTGGGACGCACGCTGCGCTTTAGCATGCAATTGCATTTGAATCTGAATGGCAAATTGATAACTTTTATACAGTAGCAACATAGAGCGGCCTCCCAGTTGCGAATATATCCACAAATCTGGACGATATCGAATATTCTGATGGGAGATTATTCATGTTCATGCCAGTGATTGTAATACCGATATTTCGCTCTCCGAAATGATGAAATACTCTCTCTAAAATAAATTACATTTTATATAGAGTATTATTAGATTAGGCTAATTAGAGAACTTTATAGTCTTTCATTGATTGTAACCGCAATAAATCAAATATGTATTTTTATGTATATTTATTATTGTATTCATTTTTGTATTATGCAAACCTCTTTACACGTACATATATAACGCCGATAACATAATACTGATATCAGCGATCAGAGATTAAATCACGTATATAGATAAATAATGAAAAATTATTACCTTATTCCGGTATTGCAATCACTAATTTATGGCTTCTCATCACGATGGAGTGTTAATCTATTAACAGCCAATGTTTCATTTTCGGGACAAAAGTTTTATTGTGAATAAAATGATTTTCGAAAATGTTGAAAATGTAATTTAATGAAAATAATCCTTTAAACTTTCCAGTGTTTAACTTCCAAATATTAAATTACCAGCTGTTTAATGATTGTAGTATTAATTCGAGATTAAAAAAAAAAGATAAAAGCACACGCCTCGTGTCATATTTAAAATTTGTTATATATTACATTTAAAGGACTGTTAGTTTTTAATATAAATAAGCGTTTCTGAAATTATGTTTAAAATTATTTTTTTTTTTTATTTGAAAATCTTTTCTGAAGCTCCATTTAAAAGAATTTTTTTAATTCTTTCACGTATTTAAGTCTCCTTCCACGTATCTCTTTAACTAATTGTAAGATTGTTATTTATATCCTTGTGTGACTGCAATAGATTAAAACTCATAATTCATACTTACTAACTAGCGACGTGGCATTAAGTTACGAGGTCGTCGTGAAGTGCCCGTGAGTTGTGGTTGCAATTAATATAACTTTCAGCCACGTCAATGTAGTTTCAACTTCTTTCTTGGCAGTCGACCAAATTAATATACGTTCCAACTGAAAAGGCGAAATTTCTTGGACGTCGTCGTATCGCAATTACGTCAATATTCGATTGCGTTTCATCGAAAGTAAACACTTGTGAGCAAACAAAGTGCTATACATGCTACATCTCGCGCGTTTCGAGCATTCGATATGTTTCGTCTTGGCGAGCGAAATCAGAGCGCATGCTGCAACGCAAAGTGTGTTTTGCCGTCATGCAGCAAAACACATCCCGTCAGCACCGAGCCAATATATTGAGCTAGAATTTACATAAACGCATATGCAGCCTCGCGCTTCTGCCATATCCGAGTAGTGTGTACAAGCAAAACACGTCTATTCCCATGCGCCACTTTGGCCACGGGAGCGCTATTTTTCTGCCAGAGGAAATATCGCGGCTCGGTGTCCGTGACAGTGAACAGAATTTTCTCTGTGCGATCAATCGCACCTCTTAGATATTGCACGGAAATTTAAACATTGAATGCAACTGAATCTGGACGCGTTGGACACCATTAAATCTACCACCCGGTTGGCAAAGTGGGTTAACGTACTGCCAGTCTTTACAATCCATCTTATTGATCTTAAAGTAATCGATATAAGCTCGTGTTCTTTAAACCCCGTCCTTGTCCGTTTTCTGAAACAATGCCAGCTGGTTTTTTTTTCAAGATTTTAAAAATTTCGTTGCCATTCATCAGGCCACCATTTCGTGCCACGAGTGTTCGCTATTTCCGTGTTCTGCGATGATGCAGCTGTGCTCCCGACGTACGTAACTTAAAAGCGCGTCGTTGTTCGCTCGCGAAATTAAATTCCTCGGTTTGCGTTCGCGTCATTTTTAAGACGACTACCGAGATCACGCGACACACGTCGGGAACGCCGGCAATTTATCAATAACTTGTCCCACTTTCTCGAAAGAACAAGCGCACGTTTCCTTCCTCATGCGAGGCAATCTTGCACCACGTATCGCTAATCGATACCCAAGACAAATTCCTTCCACCGCGTTATTTTCGCTGCGCCAGCCATCTATCTCGTCCACGTCTTTTAACCGATATTTTTTTCTTTCTTGCAGAACGTCACGATCGCAGCAGGTAACTTCCTAAAGACGGTTCTATTTTTTCGAGACACACCACTACATAGACACCGCTTTGTGCATTGGAAAGTCGATCGCTCCGGCTCGCGCGCCGAAGGTCCGCTTAAAACACGGCTCCTTTTCGTTTCCCGTGGCCGCCCGAGGCCAGGCGAGGCAGAATCCGCATGTAAATGGAATCTTCCCCGTTGAGACAACCATACGGGAGTTCTTCGATAAAGGGGCCGCGAAAAGCAAGTCGTGAATATAAATGCGCCCTCGCGCTTTGAGAATCAGAACGTGCCGGATGCCCCCGTTCCCTGAAACGCAGCCTCGCATTACACAGACAGATGCAGGTGTCCCGCGTTATCAAGAGGCACGATTGCAAAAGTGATAAGCGAGACGGAGACTCTTCCAACGTAGAAAATTCAGAATAACGTCATGCATGATAATGTTATCGGGAGCTGGAATAAATCTAACACGCCGATTACCGTGTTAGAGTAATAACGTAAATTATCAAGGCGACAGACAAAAGAACAGAGACAAAGATAGAGAGAGAGAGAGAGTGATAATACTGCGAATGTCGAAGGAAAAGGTGGATGGAATCGAGAGACACGTTGTCCATGCATTTTCGCGCTGCGTGCCGCCGATGATACGAGCGAATACGCGTCAGCTTACCGGAGCCTCGATCTGTTCGTCGACGATGCTGCTTGACAAACAACACCACCTCCTTGCCCATGAGGATCGAATCGGATCGTCGAGAAATAAACTCAAGAGACTGAAGATGACGACGGCTGAACGAAGACCTGTGCACGACCTGTCGCGTTTTTAAACAGCAGATAAACTAAGAACGCGCTCACCATCGCGCCGGCATCATGGGGAATGGCATGAACAAGGTGAGAAATTCTTTTTTATCAAGAAGCTTGTACTTTTAGATAGTCGTTTAGCTAAAGGAAACATGCATTTTTCATACCGGCAGAAACTTGGATCGAGTTCGGGAGATAGTCTAGAAATCGTATAGGACGTCTTATTCTTTGTGAAATGAATATATTAAATATTTACCGCTTTGGACCGCTTTTCGGTGGGCACAAATCCCAAAGCGGAGTCGAAACGTTCGATATTTAATTTGCATTTATTTAACAACTCCCGAATAATTTATTTGATAATATTTCATCCTCTGTTTCCTGCATTTTTAATGATCAGTCTTTCTCATTATCTGTTAATTGAATATCTGAGGGCTTTACCTTTACTGTTTTAAGATATTCGATTTGTTTCTATCTTCTCGTATCGTCTTCTTTAGCGTATTAATAGACAGCAATTAATTAAGCACTGTATACAGAAGATTTAACAAAGTATCCGAGCGTCTAAAGCAACTTGTCTTAAAAGACGAGGTCTTAAAAGAAAAGGAAATATTGATTTAATTAGTTGTTTTCTATTAAATAATTCCGTTTAAAATCGTTTAAAGTTATCTTTTTCTTTATAGAGAGTTAATTATATTTAATTGTCGTTCCGGATTGTAAATATGCTATTAAATAAGCGTTATAAAATAAGGCTAGCGGATCTTCGTTAAACGCATCTGTTTCCTCTCGTCGCAACGGGGTGAGATTTTCTTTTCATAGCCAATGTTTATGATTAAAAAAAATTGACGCTTTAAATAAATAATTAAAATAAACCTGAAAATTTATTAAATAAACAATTAGCGTCAATTTTTAACCCATAAACATTGTAGTGTTTTTAATTACCTACATTAAAAAAAAAAGCGTTCAAATCCGAGTAGTTTTAACCGGTTCCGAGATAAAAACCTAATTTGCCTCCACTAGACATTAGATACTCCATAATCAAGGGCGCTCATAAAGGTTAGGTATAAAATCGCGCTTCCTAGACCATGACCCTAGACAAGTCGTCAGACATTTTTATCGTTCTCTCCCTCCTCGGCAGTATATTAAGTTAAAATATCGAGCCTCTTTCGACGTCTGCTTGGATGAAAGATTACTTACGATTAGATGACGAAAGAAATCCAGGTCACACTGAGGGAGAAATGCTAATACAAAGCTGCGTGATGGATTCGTAATGGCCGTCGACGTGATGCGGTAATCTTAGATTAACTTACTGTTTGGCAAATATTGAATTTTGATGAAAGGCGTTTAGCTACAGATGGGCGGCATACATTAATGAAATCCCACCCGCGTTGTTTCCTCATTCCACGATTATCCGCGGCTAATATTGATTCAGTTTTTAACGATGCGGCGCGATGAGGATCGTTTTTTTTTCTTTCATTGAGTTGGAGGATCGGGTTAACGCGATGGGCGATAAGCAAATTAAGACGTTCAGAGAAGCAATCTAGCGTGGTAATCACTTGGACCGTTCGCGTGTGTGACATTTATTTTCTCGTCGCAATGGGCTACCTCGAAAATACCCATTCTCTCCCGGCGCGGGTCGTTAGTCTCGGTTCCCCCGCGATTTAATTTCATTCGAAATGTTCTTATCGCGCGTTGATTACCCTCTCCTCTACCCCGGTGTTGCAGTCACCGAGTCTGCTCCCTCCTCCGTTTCTTCACGCGTTGATTTTAGACGAGAAGGAACGACCGAATCGACGAGACCACAGCGAGCGATCTACCGAGCGGCTGGCGGCTGTCGTCACGCGATCCGCGGTCAATCGATCGATCACAAACAAAGAGAGGAGGGAAATCCGGAAATCAAAGCGTAAAACACGGGAGAACGACACGTCCGTCTAATGAAGAAAAAATAACGATAAACAAGCTGTCGTGCAGCCGGCATTGTTGGCGAAAATGCGATTCCGATCGCTCGTGGTCTCCTGGTGTGTTTGCGCGATTCACGGCAGCGTGCAGATAGCATCGGGGCATCGATCGCTCGACGAGACATCGCGATCCACCTATCATCCATCCGGTGACATCGAAACCCTCCTCATACATTCATCGAGAAACATCCCGAACTTGCCGTCATCCGTTCTGTTACTTCCGGTGTCCCGACCTCATTTTCAATCGAGATACGCCGTGGACGCGAAGCTGGCCGGGGCCGGGGTCGACGAGAAAACCGGGCATCGAAGATCGGTAAACCCAACGACGAGGGAGACGGCCGATCGCGAGAAGATCGTCGAATCCTTCGCGAAGCGCGGATCGCGCCCGCGCCGTAAACGAAGAAAGAAATGCAGCTGCCGAAAACGGGACGATTGGAAAAAAGTAGGATCGTCATTGCTTAGGTACGAAGCACGCATAAAGTTTGTCAAATCGTCTATCCTGAAAAGCCTATTTATTCCTGTTGGCACTACCAACGTCCTCGCGAGTACTCTGCTGAACAATCTGAACCCTACGTCGGAATCAACGACGCCGCAACGTTTCGCGGATATTGGCTTTACAACCACCGACGCTATCCCGCCAGCGGTTAACGCAATGACGATCACGGATGCTGCGAAGATTGCTACGAAGAAAGCTGACAACCTACCCAGTGGAAGCTACCGGCGAAACTTGTCCCGTAATCGATGCAAGAAGATCAAATGCACGACAAAAACTTGCAAAAAGAAAAGAAAGGAAAAATTGAACGTTATCGACGTACTCGCTCAGGAATTTCTTCGAGATGATCATGAGAACGCGACACTTCACGAACACGATCCCAGTCCGCTGGAGAACGAGGATCTTCGAGCGATCGTGGGATAAAATGGACCGCAACGAGATAATATGCGGCTCATATGCTTCGATATATAATCGTGATGTACAATGTTGCTATAAGATATACAAACAAAAACACTATATCATAATTTATAAGATACGTCGTAAAAGATACGAGAAACTTTGACATTATCGGGCAACATAATTTAAGGGAAAAAAGTCACGTGGATGTAAATTCCGTTTTAAATAATTGAACTTTATATTTTGTAGTAGAAAAAATGTATCAAGTAAAATTGAGACAATTATAAATACTGCGTTGCTTTAACTAAGTTAATTGTTTCAACACGTTTCCTTTCGTCTTTCTGAAATTGCTAAACTTGTATGTTCCGTCGTTGTTAAATCTTGTGATTATATAATTTTATTTTAAAATAAAGCCGACGCGTTTACATATATGATATTTTCTATTTAATACAATCAACGAATTATCGAAAGATATTATGCTTTATATATGTACATAATTTATATTAAAGTAGAAGATGAGTAAAATTATAAATTGCGGTTTCCTTTCGAGGAAGAAATATACATTAAAAGCTACAACGAGACCACATAAAATTATCGACTGATTATTTATTCATTTAACGATCCTCATCGCGAAATGTATCGTATTTTATAAATCATCGTCGAAGGGGGATTAGCGTAAATGAAGTTTCATTTCGCAACATTTCTCTGTCAGGCTTATCTCTTGCACTTCCGTTTCGCAATTACGAGCTGTACGATCGCGCGTTACCAGACGTAAAATTTTATTATTATCAAGCGTATTATGTCGGTCGTTAAGCGCGAGGTTACGACAGCGCTAGGTAAGTCGTTATATTGAAATGCGTTTAAACAAGTTGTCGAGTAATAAAGACGTGAAGTCAATCCTTCGGTCAGAATGGAACTTATAGTCACGCTATAAAAAGGAAACCTCACCCCGTTGCGACGAGAGGAAACAAATGCGTTTAACGAAGATCCGCTAGCCTTATTTTATAGCGCTTATTTAATAGCATTTACAATCCGGAACGACAATTAAATATAATTAGCTCTCTATAAAGAAAAAGATAACTTTAAAGGATTTTAAACGGAATTATTTAATAGAAAACAACTAATTAAATCAATATTTCTTTTTCTTTTAAGACCTCGTCTTTTAAGAATTATCTAATGTCAAACGTCGCAAAATGTGTGTCATCTCCGCAATTCCCTCGCGTTATTGTTCGCAGGTGCTTCCTGGTCTTTATATAGGTAATTATCAGGACAGCAAGGACGCCGATCAGCTGGAGCGTTTCGAAATCACGCATATTCTGGCTATTCACGACACGGCCCGCCGTTTGCATTCCGTGAGTACAAATGATGTATAGCAGCGTATAGCACAAAGTGTGGCCGGATAAAGCATGTACCGAATTTGAGAATCAATAGCCATAGTTGGGTAATTAACGGAAGGCTTCAGATTAGAAACGTTTATATTTTTGTACAAAAATAAATATACTCGGACTAAATCTCCGATTGCGTTTCAGGACAAGCATTACCTATGCATCTTGGCCGCCGACAGTCCCGATCAGAACTTAACGCAGTATTTTTCTCTGTGCAACGACTTCATTCATTCCGCCCGTCTTCGCGGTGGAAACGTTCTGATCCATTGGTAGATATATATTCATTGTTGTAATAAATACGGAATGTCTCGAAATTGCTGGAATGTCCTTTCTTGTAGAATTTTTTTTATCGATTTTTAAATATATTTTTCCTTAATGTAATAAAATATTGAAAATTTTAAAATATCTATAATTTTCAAATGATTAGCAATTAGAGGAATAAATTTTGTTAATGAGAAGTAGACGAAAAGTAAATTTTGTTAACTTAAGGAAGGTAAATTGGTCCAAGAAATTGTGATTAGAAGAACATCCAACGATTTTGACAATATAGAGTATTTCAAAATTTTACAAAATTGCGATTTATAAAAGTATAAAATAAAATGAAAATTTTTATGAATAAAGATAATTTTTTTCAGTCTTGCAGGAATGTCAAGGAGCGTGACAGTAGCGGTGGCCTACATCATGAGCACCACTAATCTCTCCTGGAAAGAGGCGCTTAAAGTCGTTAGGGTCGGTCGATCCATTGCAAATCCGAATGCCGGTTTTCAACAGCAGCTCAAAGACTTCGAATCTAGCCGCTTACAAGACGTAAGTAATAAACAAACGCCGGAATGTAGTTACGAAAAAGTCTTCTCGTGTCAGTACTCTATTCTATCAGAAATCTTCAAATCGTAGTCGATGTTATTTTACATTTACATCATCAAATTAGATTTCTATTGTATTATATCTTGATGCAGGAGCGTAATAGGTTGAAAGAGCGATTTCCCAGTCTCGCTCTCGCCGAATCCGACGCCGAGGTCTGCAGCTCTACCCTGAGGAATTACGAAACGCTGGCCCTAGCGAAAGAGGTGTGCGAGGGTAAGTGCGCCATGGGACGCACTTGTCCAACCGGGCTTTGCCGTCAGGCAACTTCTAAGAGGTAATTATATCAAAATTTTTAATTATAAAACGATGTACATATTCTTATTATATTCAGTAATATATAATGCAGCAAAAAACTATGTCTATAAACAATTTATATAAGCACTAGAAAATTTAATAAAAAACGGAGATGATAGAGGCTGCAGTGTAGAATAAACAATGTATATAAATTTGCAGGACTCTAAGAAGAAAGTCATCCACCAGCAGTATCGGAAGCGCGTCATCCGGCAGGACACCTCCGCAAACACCCCGGATGCTTCCGTCCGCGCCACCCTCGCCGGCTTTGCACAGATCATCCAGCATTGTGTCCACATCGAGACCACGGAGTGGACCGGCAGGATTGCATTCTTACACCGGAGGATCCGCTCCACCTTCTAGGTAACAGTAATCCTTTCCGGAAGATCTTATCTTCGCTTTTTCGTATCTATATGAAATTATTTAATTGAAAACGTTAACGACTTAGTACTTTAATTGCCACATTTACATTTATAAAAATAAGATAAGATTGAAAAGAAAAGAGATATTTTCTTACAAAGAAAGTAGGTTGTTTATTAAAATATGGAAAATAAATATCATATTTATTTTCGAACGTTATTTGGATGCTGCAAAGGCGTTTTTCAAGTTTTCCGAAAGTTGATTAACGTTGATCACACACAGAACTGCGTCGAGGGTGGACCTTTCGGCGGCAGTGGCTTGCAGCAGCAGCAACGCCAGCCTCTCCGCCGTGGGCAGATCGAGCGCGTTCTCCAGTAGCAACTGGCGATTGACCGCCGGTTCCGCGCCGAACACGCCGAGACCGACGCCGCCGGTCTCGCCGCAATGCTGGCCGAGGCGACTCTCGAATCGGCAGACGCCGCAGTTGCCAGTACCACCGGATTCACCGGAATCCCATCCTTCGACAATGACGTAGCAGCGGGAGTTGCGCGGTTCTCTATCGAGCCTGATGGAATAACGAGCCGAAGGAGATCGGCGAACCGCTCGAGGATTTTACCACCAACATTATGCGCTCTTCATCGTCGGCAGATTAAATTACGAATTTGCTATCATTTTTTGGACGCGATTATTTGGATGAGTCCTGGGAGGAAATTTCCGGTAAAAGAGAAAGGAAAGATTTCGATGAAGGTATCTATGAATTATATAAAGACGTGCCTGCGAATGTTTTTTACATGTTTGGGACATTTGGGATATTTAGTGGAACGTATAATCCGGCGGAGTTTGAAACACTATTACGGATAAATAATGATCTATGTGATTTTGCAAGATGGTATGTGTCGGCTCGATTTGAACTCGGGTCGGCGAGGAAAACGACGATACATGCGCGTAATGCGTTGTTGGAAATTGTTGGTGACATTAACTTATACAAGTTGTTACATGTTGTTGCTTATATACTCAGCGAGAAAGTGCTTTTACCGCGAATGGGATGGGAAACAACAAGATTCTCTTCGTACGCATCGGGAACACTTTGTGTTTTAAATTTCGCGTCCTACGATTATCTTCGTCCTGATGATTAGATTCTCTCAACGGAGAGATACGAGTAACGACATCGATGGATACTGTGACAATCTGTTATTCAAATATATCACGAGGTTGAATTAGTACGCTCGCGTAACGGATCGATGTGTGAGGTGAAGTAGTAAATTGGAAAGATTGACACATTCGGGACATGGTATTAATCCTTTGGGGCTTTATCGGTTACAACGATAATTGCGTGCAATTAAGTGCGACTGGTTATTTCGCGCTTTTTACGGCGTCGTTCAATCGCGCTAATAATGCGCTCGTTAACGATTCCCGCGTGCAATTTCTCCCTCGGAGATAATGCGCGAATCGTTACCACCTAATCATTGGTTGTGAAAAAGAATATTGCTCAAAGCGGCAATTATGCAATACATACAACAACGTTCCCAAAGGATTAATTAGAAAAGGAAAAAATATATATAATCGAACACATGAGCGCTCAAATGTAGCTTGATAGTTTTGAAATTGATCGCGTAGCGTAAAGTGAAGAGTCGTCGAAGAATATTTTTCGATAGAACTTGCGGTGTGTGTGTGTGTGTGTGTGTGTGTGTGTGTGTGTGTGTGTGTGTG